CCAACATATAAAAAAAGATGGTAAAACACTTTTACTCTCTCAAAGCAACCACTGGGGGCACCAAAGTGACTGAAAATGGCCAAACCCCCAATAATTGTTGTTACATTGTACTTACATATTCCTTTTCTTTAATGACCACTTAAACACTTTAGACTAAAAGTCACATTTTAACCATTTTATTCTCTACACAAAGCAGTTTATCAAACATCTGCAGCCAGTTTAGAATCATCAAGTAACCTAACATGCATCGACTCGTCAACCCAGCAAGCTGAACTGGTGCTCATTACAGGTGAACATTTTAATGTGGGAATCTATGGGAAATTATACTTGGAGCTAACTTTAGGTAGACCCTCAAGAAACTCCAGTTTTTGACTTTTAAAAATATTGTCCAGGCCATGTATTAATAATATGGAAACCCTTAGAGGTAATATTATAAAAACTGTGGAGTAGCTGCTGCGGTTTATCAATCACAAGTATCTTTGGGCTGAAGCACCTTTCCATATGTTTTGAGCCGTAAACAGCTTTGAGTTTCAGCTCTTTCTTGCTTATTGGGCTTGGTGCATCTCTCTGATAGCAGATTTTTGTGAGCACAAAACAAAACAAGAAGATGGCAGACTCCAAAAACAGGGCTAAAAGTGCATCGTGGACTATTATGGACAAAGGAACAAGTCTGACACATGTTTTGTCACCTTTGCACCTTCCTGCAGGCGAAAGTACAGCAATACCTCTAAAATCAGCTTAAACAAGTATATATGTATAGATTTCTCTCACAGCACATCCTCGCTACAGTAAATTAAAAGTAGAAATATGTCAGATAAAGACATTAGTCCCTTTCCATCCTTCAGTGAGGCTGACTTTAATCAGTGATTTATAACTGAGAGAAAATGTGAGGTTGCATCACTCAAAGTGCAGTTAATGAGGCGCTGTCAGACGACGAAACACAGAAGCTCGTATCAGACTCTGTACACTCCATCTCAACTCTGACTGGAGTATTTCCAGCAGCATTTCCAGCGTTCATTATCATCATGTCATATGTGAGTAAAAAAGTGGGGGTTTTCTCAGCTCGTGCCGTTCGTCGGTCCCGTGATCCCTGCTTCTGCAGGAACATGCGCATGTGTGTACGTGTGTTTAGCTGAGGGATGCACGGCCGGTGTGCATGTGTGTGTCCTCGGTGTGAAGTAATCACAGCAGTGTATCGCGCAGATTCAGACCGCTCAGTCAGACAGTGTTTGGTTCCTCGTCAGACTGCAGGAACTCCCGCTCTTTCTGTGGGTTAGACACATAAATAACCCGTGTCAGTTAGATATGTCTGTGCAAACACAGTGCTGATTTCTAGGGGCTTTTACATACATTTGTACTATACACATACTGCTTTGACTTTACTTCTGTCCGGCTCTCCTTCACGTCCACAGAGAATACAAAGGCTCTAGCCCACGCACATACAGGAGCCAAGGTGGAAACCTGAATCCATCTGCTTCTGATTACTCTAATTGGGCAGAGAGTTTGAGGAAATGTGCGACAGTTGAATACAGGGTAGCTAAACCGACCCTGGTGAAAACTGAGTTGAAAACCGAGAGCCTGAGGTCACACCAGCATCTGCAGTTTGGGTTTGCTTCACTTGCATGTGTGCATGACTGGTTAAGTTATGTCTGACTTTTAATTTGAATCATTTGCCTCTTTAGCTCACATGCAAAGAGTTAACAGAAGTCCGGAGATGAGTCAAGAAGCCATTGTGAGCCAGACTGAATCAAAAAATCATAATCCAGAAGCTAGTCTTGTTGAAGCGTTTCCCGGTGATGCTCTTTCACCACAATAAGAAAAAAAATACTACTTTTGTAGCATAATTTGATATTAAAAGGTCTGGAACCAGCTGAAGAGGTTATTCTCTCACAGTCAGAGTAAAGAAATGTAAATCAGTGGTTCCAAAATCGACCCACTTTCTTCACACCTTAGTCACAGTTTCAGCATCATTCATCATCATTTTCACCTTTCCTGATCCCGTCTGCTTAAGCATCCCATCACTTCGGCCTCTCAGTCCAGCCAACACTCAACACTCCTACCTTTCATTCCTCTGGATGTCCAGAGACACTAAAAGTCTGCTTATTCACGAGGCAGCAGTCATTAACTCTGTCTCCTTTTTCCTGGTGCGAGTAACGCAGCTCTGGCTTTAATCTGCCTGGTCTGTCTGTTGTTTCTCACTGCTTATATTTTCTATCTCCACTTTCTCTTCACCCCAACCAGACCAGACAGATGGTTTCCTTCCCTGTTTGGTTCTGCTGGACGTTTCTCTCTTTCAGGAATGTTTTTCTCCCCACTGTCATCAAATGAGCAGCTCACTGAGAATTGTTTCTGTGTCTTATTAAAGATACATAAAAAGAATGGAACTGATTATCTTTTGTCATTGTGCACATATTTTAAACATATTTTTTTTATCTTTCTACTCTCCGGTCAGTTGCTTCAAGATTTGTTTTTATTAAGAATTTTTATTAGACTTGCAGAATGCCCAGACATGCATCCACAGCCCCAGATTTGGGCAATAGCTTGTGGCTTCACTGGGCTTGTAGCAGCTCGTACTTGTACAAATAAGAGTGAATTGCAGACACAAACATCAACAGACAATGATTCACATGAGCGAGTAGCCAAACATAATCTTTGGTGGTGACAAAGTATGAACCAGACTCCTCTGATGTCTGATATCATCTTTACCTGGATCATATCATGCTGGTATGCTCAGATTAGGCCACGGGCAGGCTGACTAAGTGGACCTCTGCTCTGCTGCCCGGGATCCCCCCACCTCTCCTGCACACTCTTGCATGGATTTGTCTGTCTGAGCCGGATTGTTCGGGGTCACGTGGGGGTTGTGTAAATATTCACTCGCTACGGGTGGGAAGAAAGCTCCGAGGGATTTTCCATGACCTACTCTGGTGAATGAAGCATTCCTTGCCAAACAAACGCAGCATCCTCCTCTCCGCGCAGATGGGGAATCACTGAGGTAGCATCACCAGGGACACCAAGCTTCCATTCATCTTTGTTGTTGCTTCCACCGCGAATTTAGTCACAACACCCACAGCAGCGATTTTCCATATGATGCCGTTGTTTGTTTGGATGGCAATTGTTTCCTACTGATGTCATCTGGAGCTGGACCACGGGGAGCAATTATCTGCCTGTTTTTGGAAGAAAACTTGTGCCGGATTAAAGCATCAAACTCACCAGATACGATTCCTAACCGCGCCATCCCAAAGTGAATAACTGCGGTCACAAAAGCAGCGGTTATCGTGTAATTTATCATTATAATATTATAGTATATCATATAACAACCGCTGCTGAGTATACAAAGCAACATGGTTACTGCACTTAAATGTGTGTATCCCTGTCATCTAACTTTTCCACTTTGATGGGAGAGTTTGATCAATTTCATCAAGCGACAGATTTCAGTGAAACAAAAAAGATTCATGTGCAAAAAATCTGTCGCTGATCGGAGCTACACTCAGCTTCTGTCCAGCAGCAGCTGCATTAGCTCCCATCAGGAGATGGAGCTCATAAATAACCATCTCCTTCACTGAGTTTAACCCATCTGCATCTAGGCGCGTAGCCAGCGTTATACCTCTGTACAGCCACACTGAGGAGAAGGAATCAGCACGAATCTGATTTATGAGTCTGGGGCTCGATGTTGACCTGGGTATGATAAGACCAAAATATGGATTCCAGAAACTTCTGCAAAAGCAGACAGGAGGGATTTCAGGGGGAAAGGTGTGCTTTTTAATCTTCTGCTTCTGCTCACAACCAGGTGTGGGGAAATTCTCCTAAAGCTATAAATCCTCTTAGCTCTCTCCCATACCAAGTGCTTCTTTCCTCGCAGCTAATGTAAAACCAAATGCTTTGCTGATCCTAAGCTGTCTGTCAGTTAAGGACATTAGGCACTCGTCAGGCCTGACGCATAGTACGTGCATGACATCATGGGCACCGCATGCGCTCCCGACGCTGTTTTCATAGCATGACCCACGACACAGCAGGGTCAGCGAGGGTCATTTACTACGACCTTTATGTGTGTGGAGTTTTCCCAGGCACGGTTAAAACATGCAGTAAAAAATGTATTAACAAGAAGTTATTAAAATGGCAGCTTTTTCATTTCAATGCATCAACATTTCATCCTGTAACTTTGTTAAAATGCTCACGGGTGCATTTATTGTAAGCAGAGGAGTTTTATATCTAATATCACCTCTCTGTATCATGAGAACTGCTGACTTTATTGGCAATATTAAATGTTAAAGAAACAAGACAAATGTAGCTTTTATGGCTCCAGCCTGAACTTTGAGACCATCTTTATTATGATACCAAGACTGCCATCTAGTGTTTGACATTCACAACTGCAGCTTTGGAGCTTTTTATGGAACAGCTTTCAGGTTAACGTGATGGTAACTGGTGAGGTTTACGTAAGTTTAGGTTAAACTGCTGAAAGCTCCTGGTGTGCTGCCACACTTCAGTAATTTTGGATTATATTATGACTAAAAACAGCAACATATGTGAGCATTAGGGGGAGGAGCCGGTGGGATAAGCACAAGAGCGTGCAGACACTGAGGATATGTAATGTACTGCACAAAAATGGAACGACAGGAGCTTTACCTTTAGCTTGGGAGGAATTAAGGCAAGGAAAGAATTTATGAGATGTTCTCACAGGCTGCACAGCCAACAGCTGAAGGTCCAGATGTGAGTCAGTTTCCTTTTTGTGGGACATCTAATGTTCTGCTTTCCATGTCTGCTTTTACTTATGAACCGAAAAGCTTCATTGTCCCTGGAGGGAAACCACTTTGCCAATGAGCCTTTCAAAAAACATTTTACATAAAAACCAGACGTGCATTTCTATTAAAATGCAAAAAACAACGATAGCTTATTAAAAGAAAGAACAAGTCACCAAGTGTGAGGTCAAAGGTCATGTTCAGCTTCAGATTTTATGCAATCCAGTAAGTGTTAAAGTGGTGTGAATTATTGCCACTATAAAACAGATAAGCAGAAAGTTTATTAGAGAGTTTATGCAAACTTAAACATGAATTTGTTCTGAGATACAGTAACAATTATTTTAATGATTCCATCAGTAACGTCAAACCTGGTTACTTCCCCCTTTTCAGTGTATCTGCAAACGCCGTGAGGTGAGTTCTGCTTCACTCCAGCAGGTTATTCAACTGAATACCAACAGGGATTAAAAACATTAAAGCTACAAGTCAGACACTTGCTGGAAGTCTGCAGAGCTGTACAATAATCCTTTTTAGCATTTATATGACTCTGGGCAGCTCAGTACATCTGCATTTCCTGCCAACAGAGACACAACAGGGCATGTGTGCAAATGAGGGAAAACGTCACCTTAATTTTTCTGTTTGCTACTATCGGCTACAGCGCTCCTTCATTTAATGGTTCATTTTTCTCAACTTATGGAATCATAGTAGCTTTAAAGAAGCTTTAAATGGAAATGCATCTGTTTTAGATAGTATGTGTTAGATAAAAAGAAATGTAACACCAGTCATTTCATATTCACATCTTTACAAAAAAGAAGACATTGTTAACAGCAGAGAGCACTAAACAAAGGAACAGTCCACTGGATAGAATGAGGCCAAAATGAGTTTTGTATAAAAGACACATATATATCCAGTACATATGAATGTGTGCCTCCAAGTCCATCTAACCGACTAAAACAAGAAAAACAGTGAGTCCGAGAAACAGGCAGCTGAAGCTGTAGGCAGCCATCGACTGAGCGGACATGGTGATGGTGATTCCAGGCCTGCAGAGATCACAGTTTGCACCACAGAAGAAGCAGGAGTCCATGCCGAGCAGACCTCGCGAATTGTACGTGCTCATCGCGTTTCTCGCTGAAATTAAAAATACAACCATTCACATTATATATATTTTTAAAAATGACACTATTCACAGTCGTACTCACTTGGCTCATAGTAGTCGTAAACGCGTGCCACAGCGTCGTGCACGCGGGCCACTTTGTAGTTTCTGACGAGGGGAAGGTTGATACAAACCTCTGACTTGTTGAGCTGCAAATGACACCAGAATAATGTCACTACGCACGTGATGTAATCGGATTCCTGCTATTTTATCAACATGCATTTTCATTTAATGTAGGAAACCAGTGCTGGTGAAGCATTGCAGGGCAAATGAAAAGGGGTTAATATCACACCCAAATAATACGCATAGAGCGGGTTTTAAAGCTTCACGCTGATTGCCGTTAGGCTGCTTCAAACACTTACTGAATCCAGGTACAGGATGACTTTCTCAGGTGCCGTCTCCACCTTCCTGATAACAGCTGATTGGACAGCAGCCTCAGGAGAGAGTGTGAACCCGCTGAGCAGGCCTACATCCAATATAACCATACCTGTGTGAGGTATCAGCTGACTGTCCTTTAATCTGGAGAGGACAACATTTTCAGAGTGTTTAACATGCATAGTAACCAAATGATGATAAACCTTTTTGTCTGCGTAGGTTCTCAGTCATCCAGCTCATAGTAATGGATGTTTCACCTCAAAACGTCTTCAAGAAACTTGATTTTGTTTTCAAGCTCCTTGGATAAATCATCTTCTTTTACCCGCTCCCTTTAGGGGTCGCCACAGCAGATCATCGGCCTCCATCTCCCCCTGTCCCAGCATCCTCCCCCGTCACACTAACCCTCTGCATGGTCTCCTCTGCACGTGTCCAAACCATCTCAGCTGTGCCTTTCTGACTTTAACTCAGAAGAGCAAAATCCGATCTGTCCCTCTGATCTACTCATTTCTAATCCATCCTTTCAGGCTGGGTTAACCAAATAAAGATAAATACAGTACATAGAAACGCACTGTCCATGTGTGAACCGCTCACCTTGTGCATACAGACAACATCATGTGATTGCGGTCGCTGCCATCAGCAGCATCGATGCGTAATGAGAAAGCTTCGTCCGCAGCTTGCTGGTGGTTCTCTGCAAAAGTTTCCCTCTCCAAGTGGTAAAAGACGTTCAGCTGTAGTCATGGAAACAGTTACAAATGTTTGATTATCGATTAAAAGCTGAAGTATACAGTTAAAAGAAAACACACGTCTCATACAAAAACTAACAGCACAACGGAGAGATTAACCTTTCACCTCAGTTCTCCTCTCAGCGATTTTATCTGCAGTGCAGACAGATGCTGTCTGACGTCAATTGCTTGGGATCCATTATGATGCAGCATTTTCATTTATGATGCACAACGTTGTGCTAAGAGAAGCTATCGCGCACAGCTGCTGCTGCAATTTATGCTGCTCGCGCGCTGGTGGTTAAACCGTCTGTCGAGCTCAACACGATGGAGGAAACATTCCTGATGTGTAAGGGCGAGTTCCAGTTTCTCATCAAATCTGTACCTTACAAATAATTCCTGAAATGGAACCACGGCGGTACACAGAAACAGAGAAGCCGTACAACTGCACCTGAAATGTGGCAAAGCCTCTGCCTTCCATGGATATTTTTAGATGCAGATCGTTTTCAGCAGGAATCTAAGAAACATGAAATGAAAATTGGAGATTAAATAAATTTCAGTTACTGTACATATCAACCATCTAACGCCAGGTAACGGATGCACCTCTTGACTTTGATATGTTCGATAGTTGGTGGCGTTGATTCGAAACAGTGATGAAGATTCTGGAGAAGACACACTGACCATGAGGTTGATGGCATTGGCGCCGCTGAACGCTGCGTAGGAAGCCAGAGCCTGGAGAGCTACTACTGTGTCCTGAGGAAGGGAACAGAAGATGCAGCCATCGTGGATAAACATCGACTTTAGGGGCAGAATGTGGGAATATTTGTGAGAATCCATGGCGGAGCTGAAATATGCTGTATATCTGTACACAGGTGAGAATCAGTAAGAGGAAAAGAGGTTTGTCTCACCTGTGTTGTTCCGTAGCCTCCTAGATGGTTTCTCTGTGTGCTTAACCACTTCATTTGTGTAATGCCATCAAAGAGTGAGCCACGGTTGATGTGAGCTAGCAGCACATACGAGGCCATCTCGATCTGTGCTGAGGGCAGCTTCTGGTTACGTGACCTCGGGCCTGCAGACGAACTCCACATCATCACTCCATCTAAGAGAATAACCACAGGCTAACTGACACAGCCACTGTATAAGTCGGTAAGTAAAGGATGGGATGTTGCTGTTTTTATAAAAGCTTCAGATAGAAAAAAAGGCTGAGTCACCGATGTAGTCCGCTCTCTTGCCGAGTTGAGTCAGTGCGGTGAAAGAGACGGGACTGTTGACCAAAGCTAAAGCGTAAGCCGTCAGACACAGGCTGTAGTTACTGATCACTTCACTGGACACTTTGTCCTCCAGGTACTTTCTGGCCAGAGACACACTGGCTTCGTGTATCTCCTTCATACAGAGAAACCAATACAGTATTATTAGCATTCGCAGACATCCTGTCCATTTAAGTATCAGCTTCTAGAAAGCTTAAAAATAGATTTCTGCCCTAACTCACTGTGTAGATTTCATCCTGCATAAGTGCAATCAGGACATAAGCCGTCAGCGCCACCGGGCCCTTATCCAGCCCTCCCTGCATCTCGGTGTGGATCAGTCTGCCCACCTCACTGAACTCTCCTTGGGGGCCCTGGCGTTTTAAGAGCCAAGACACAGCCCTGTCCAGGACGCTCTGGTCTATCTTCACGTAGGGCTGAGCCTGGAGGAAGCAGCGCAGCACAAAGGCCGTCAGCCTGGATCCAGAGAAAGAAGAGAGGAGAGAGAAGAAGGAGCATCAGAAAATTTGCGATTTTAGAGAAAACATTTATGAAACTAGACCACACGGGTGACCTTACCATGTGCTGCCAGAGGTGTCGCTGTTTCCAAAAGCACTGAAGGAACCGTCTTCTCTCTGGTAGGACAACTGTTTCTGATAACCTTACAGCAAAAAAGCAAAAAGGCTTGTGACAAACCCCTTAATGGGCTCAGAGAACCTTCAATTTAACACTCAGAAGACGTTCTTATATATTGTGATAACTAGTTCTCCAGGTCAGTGATCTTTATGAGTGACCGAGGTCCATCTAACCTTCCATCATGTAAGCTAGAGCCTTTCTCCTGAGCTCTTGGTCATCCTGGTTTGAAGTGTCCAGGTACTGGATAACATATACACTTGGAGCAAAGTGGATCATGTTCTGTTCCCCACATCCAAGCGGCAGCTGAACCAGTGAACCCAAGTTGTTGATGGACAAAGCCAGGATATCGCCTGCGAGAAGCAGCAGGACAGAGGATGGAAAGATTTAACGCATGAACAACATGTTTGTTTTTGAGCAATTTGAGCTGGAAGGTGAGACCGGAATGGGAACAGAAAGTGTCTCTTTCACCAGACGAGTGTTCAAATAAGGTAACTTTTGAATGGAATATAAAGAGTATTTTTTTAAATGGGCACCTTGAAAGTCGGGGAAGTGGCTTAAATGACACGTTACAGAAGGATGATAAAAAAACAGCCTCACTGAGCAGGAAGCCGCAGTTCTGCAAGATGAAACGTTTATCCTGCAGCTGACTATCAAGACAAGCGCCAAACCTGAAATCTATAGCTGAGGAAAATCCCGACGCTTGCTTTTCTGCTATGATACATGCCTAAATGACTCAAAGTAAACAAACTGCATGCACAAACAGTAAGAGGACAAACGGCAGACTTACCAGCCAGTACCACACGGGCCCTCTGACTACCGGGCACCACATTTGGGGGGAAGGAGAAGGAGAGGGCTGTGGATTTGTTCCGTTTCTCCGGTTCCATCTCCAGGAACAGCGTCTGAGAGAAGTACTGTTCAACTCCCTCGGGCTTCAGGAACAAGCATTTCAATGTTATGATAGGAATAACTGTGCCGCATAAGTTCAAAAGCACATCTTGTAGCGACATCGTGTTGCAGGCACCGTCCTATGCTCAGACATCTCCTTGCTTTATCATACCTTCACCATCACTCTCCAAACAAGACTGTCTGAGGCCTCTGCAGACACGGCATCCACAGATATCTCCACCTCACCCAGAGCCAAAGGCCTCACAGGGAACAGAGCTGAAGCAGAGCCGTGACTCTCCACGGTGACTTTCTGAGCATTGATAACAGATGCATCTTTTCGGTGTGTCAGAACAAACTCAAAGGACTTGCTCTGTGCTAGCAGCACGATGACCTACATATGCAGAGAAACGTATGACAGCAAAGCGCAATCTTTAAAAACAGGGAAAATATGCCGTGCCAGAAATGATGGAAGTGAGCAATAATTCATGCAAAAGGGAGAGACTCGGATCTCTGTCGATAGATGTCAGATTATTTACCAAACTCAGCCTTATTCAGCTACAATGTACCACAAAGTGCGTCCTACATACATCCATCTCCTGCTCCAAATGGTTGATGATCTTCACTTCCAACACAATCTCCTCTCCTCTGATGAGGAGTGATGGGGCGCCCAGAGACAAGGAAAAATCTTTGGAGACAGTCAGCTGTCGATGAAACAACATAAGCGAGAGTTATTAAGAAGGTCGGGGAAGATAACTCCTCAGCATCTCAGTTCGTAAAACTCCTCGTTCGTAAAAGAAGGAAACACGAATACCAGAAATGTGAAGAGTGTTTCGTTACCTTTTGCAGCACAGGAGTGAAGACCAAGCCCAGGTTCTCCGACATCACCAGTGCTAAAGCTCCCATAGCAGTAATGCCATCTGGAACGAGTATTTTCTCACTTGTCCAAGTCCGATTGCTGAGAGAAAGGAAAAAGCAGCAATATTCAGTGAACTACAGGGAGTGCAGAATTATTAGGCAAGTTGTATTTTTGAGGAATAATTTTATTATTGAACAACAACCATGTTCTCAATGAACCCAAAAAACTCATTAATATCAAAGCTGAATGTTTTTGGAAGTAGTTTTTAGTTTGTTTTTAGTTTTAGCTATTTTAGGGGGATATCTGTGTGTGCAGGTGACTATTACTGTGCATAATTATTAGGCAACTTAACAAAAAACAAATATATACCCATTTCAATTATTTATTTTTACCAGTGAAACCAATATAACATCTCCACATTCACAAATATACATTTCTGACATTCAAAAACAAAACAAAAACAAATCAGCGACCAATATAGCCACCTTTCTTTGCAAGGACACTCAAAAGCCTGCCATCCATGGATTCTGTCAGTGTTTTGATCTGTTCACCATCAACATTGCGTGCAGCAGCAACCACAGCCTCCCAGACACTGTTCAGAGAGGTGTACTGTTTTCCCTCCTTGTAAATCTCACATTTGATGATGGACCACAGGTTCTCAATGGGGTTCAGATCAGGTGAACAAGGAGGCCATGTCATTAGTTTTTCTTCTTTTATACCCTTTCTTGCCAGCCACGCTGTGGAGTACTTGGACGCGTGTGATGGAGCATTGTCCTGCATGAAAATCATGTTTTTCTTGAAGGATGCAGACTTCTTCCTGTACCACTGCTTGAAGAAGGTGTCTTCCAGAAACTGGCAGTAGGACTGGGAGTTGAGCTTGACTCCATCCTCAACCCGAAAAGGCCCCACAAGCTCATCTTTGATGATACCAGCCCAAACCAGTACTCCACCTCCACCTTGCTGGCGTCTGAGTCGGACTGGAGCTCTCTGCCCTTTACCAATCCAGCCACGGGCCCATCCATCTGGCCCATCAAGACTCACTCTCATTTCATCAGTCCATAAAACCTTAGAAAAACCAGTCTTGAGATATTTCTTGGCCCAGTCTTGACGTTTCAGCTTGTGTGTCTTGTTCAGTGGTGGTCGTCTTTCAGCCTTTCTTACCTTGGCCATGTCTCTGAGTATTGCACACCTTGTGCTTTTGGGCACTCCAGTGATGTTGCAGCTCTGAAATATGGCCAAACTGGTGGCAAGTGGCATCTTGGCAGCTGCACGCTTGACTTTTCTCAGTTCATGGGCAGTTATTTTGCACCTTGGTTTTTCCACACGCTTCTTGCGACCCTGTTGACTATTTTGAATGAAACGCTTGATTGTTCGATGATCACGCTTCAGAAGCTTTGCAATTTTGAGACTGCTGCATCCCTCTGCAAGATATCTCACTATTTTTGACTTTTCTGAGCCTGTCAAGTCCTTCTTTTGACCCATTTTGCCAAAGGAAAGGACGTTGCCTAATAATTATGCACACCTGATATAGGGTGTTGATGTCATTAGACCACACCCCTTCTCATTACAGAGATGCACATCACCTAATATGCTTAATTGGTAGTAGGCTTTCGAGCCTATACAGCTTGGAGTAAGACAACATGCATGAAGAGGATGATGTGGACAAAATACTCATTTGCCTAATAATTCTGCACTCCCTGTAGTGGATCAGATGAATCACCTTCCCCTCTCAGCCCTTACCTAACGTTAGTGTTCAACCACAGCAAAGCTTCAGCACCATCCATCCAGTGGTGCCAGTCCTTGTGCACCTCTGGGGCATGTCCTTCTGAAAGCCATGAGATTGTATTTATAGCACTGAAGATGCAAAGTCAAGTCAGTATCGTAACTACAAAAAAAACAGCCGTTTTACCATTTTTAGGTCCAGGCTGGTTTTTCCTGTATAATCTCGTATTGGTCAGGATCTGAAGATCACAGTCCTGTGGTGGGACAGGAAGAGGAAAAATGGGTAACAGTGAATCTGTTTGGGCGAGAACGTTTTTAAATGGATCGTTGTCAGATCACCACATGAGTTAGAAGTCAGGTGTGACGTAAAGTCTAAGCGTCTTTATAGGAATCTGAGGCGATCGCAGTTTTTAAATGATCTATTCTACCACACACACACACTCACACCTACACTCTCACACACACTCACACCTACACTCTCACACACACTCACACCTACACTCTCTCTCACACACACACACTCTACAGACTGTCAGAGCTTTGGAGGTGAGAAAAGGTGACACTTGGTTTCCTCTATTGCAGCGATCCTTAAGCCTCAGGTCCTGAATCCAGAGCACTGAGGTTACCAGCTCTTAGAAACAGGAGTCACCTCCTAACAAAGCAGACAGATATGTTATATCTGGACGAGCCGGTTTAGTGATCACTTTTTCAATTTCCGTGCAGTATCTAACTGGGAACAGTGTGCCGGGGGACTGGGGTGACTGGGGTGACTGGGAGAACAATATGAAGGAAATCCTGCGGTATCTAAAACAGGTGACTTTCTGACGAAGGTTCGCAGGAGCTCATGTTTCACAGATAAATTTTAAGCTTTTGTCTGCAGACATAATCAGCATTTATACAGAAGGAAGCATGGTTACTGCGGTCATACCCCTTCCTCTTTAAAGTTCAGATCGGGCTGCAGGGCGTCATCGTGTGTCCCCGTTACCGTGACTGCCAGCTGAGACCTGGATTCAAGACCGGTCACAGTCAGCGATACCTGCTCACCTGGCTGGGCGCTTTCACTGCTCCACTTTAATGACACCTGAGGGGAGCACGCACACAGAGTACGGCACAGGATGAAGAGGATTACTGTTGGGAATTCATTAGAGCAATATAATAAAACGAGATCCTGTACATAGCTGTCTCGACTGATGGATATTTGTGCTGCGTCGCTGATGATCTCGCCGTCAGACAGGATGCAGTAAACTGTGACACAGGCCGCAGGGGCCCAGGACAGCGCTGGGGTCAGAGAGAAGGACGAGGAGTTTTGGGTCCCAGCAGCTACCACCTGGCCTTTAGAGCTCACCTACAAAATACAGTGGGGCAAAAAAGTATTTAGTCAGCCACCGATTGTGCAAGTTCCCCCACCTAAAATGATGACAGAGGTCAGTAATTTGCACCAGAGGTACACTTCAACTGTGAGAGACAGAATGTGAAAAAAAAATCCATGAATCCACATGGTAGGATTTGTAAAGAATTTATTCGTAAATCAGGGTGGAAAATAAGTATTTGGTCAATAACAAAAATACAACTCAATACTTTGTAACATAACCTTTGTTGGCAATAACAGAGGTCAAACGTTTACTATAGGTCTTTACCAGGTTTGCACACACAGTAGCTGGTATTTTGGCCCATTCCTCCATGCAGATCTTCTCAAGAGCAGTGATGTTTTGGGGCTGTCGCCGAGCAACACGGACTTTCAACTCCCGCCACAGATTTTCTATGGGGTTGAGGTCTGGAGACTGGCTAGGCCACTCCAGGACTTTCAAATGCTTCTTACGGAGCCACTCCTTTGTTGCCCGGGCGGTGTGTTTTGGATCATTGTCATGTTGGAAGACCCAGCCTCGTTTCATCTTCAAAGTTCTCACTGATGGAAGGAGGTTTTGGCTCAAAATCTCACGATACATGGCCCCATTCATTCTGTCCTTAACACGGATCAGTCGTCCTGTCCCCTTGGCAGAAAAACAGCCCCATAGCATGATGTTTCCACCCCCATGCTTCACAGTAGGTATGGTGTTCTTGGGATGCAACTCAGTATTCTTCTTCCTCCAAACACGACGAGTTGAGTTTATACCAAAAAGTTCTACTTTGGTTTCATCTGACCACATGACATTCTCCCAATCCTCTGCTGTATCATCCATGTGCTCTCTGGCAAACTTCAGACGGGCCTGGACATGCACTGGCTTCAGCAGCGGAACACGTCTGGCACTGCGGGATTTGATTCCCTGCCGTTGTAGTGTGTTACTGATGGTGACCTTTGTTACTTTGGTCCCAGCTCTCTGCAGGTCATTCACCAGGTCCCCCCGTGTGGTTCTGGGATCTTTGCTCACCGTTCTCATGATCATTTTGACCCCACGGGATGAGATCTTGCGTGGAGCCCCAGATCGAGGGAGATTATCAGTGGTCTTGTATGTCTTCCATTTTCTGATGATTGCTCCCACAGTTGATTTTTTCACACCAAGCTGCTTGCCTATTGTAGATTCACTCTTCCCAGTCTGGTGCAGGTCTACAATACTTTTCCTGGTGTCCTTCGAAAGCTCTTTGGTCTTGGCCATGGCGGAGTTTGGAGTCTGACTGTTTGAGGCTGTGGACAGGTGTCTTTTATACAGATGATGAGTTCAAACAGGTGCCATTCATACAGGTAACGAGTGGGGGACAGAAAAGCTTCTTACAGAAGACGTTACAGGTCTGTGAGAGCCAGAGATTTTCCTTGTTTGAGGTGACCAAATACTTATTTTCCACCCTAATTTACGAATAAATTCTTTACAAATCCTACCATGTGAATTCATGGATTTTTTTTTTCACATTCTGTCTCTCACAGTTGAAGTGTACCTCTGGTGCAAATTACTGACCTCTGTCATCATTTTAAGTGGGGGAACTTGCACAATCGGTGGCTGACTAAATACTTTTTTGCCTCACTGTACATACATTACTAAATCATTGTTGGGTTGAAGAAGTGTCACGGACAGGTGCACAACTACCGGTAACAGTGTTTAAACACACACATAGTACTCTGCATTAATGAGTAATTGTGTGTAACACAAAAAAGCCACAGAAATGATTTACAGTTAGAAGCTTAGACACTTATGTGCTGGCCACTGTAAGATTTTCTTGCAATTCATAAGATTAATTTTACTTTACAATATGTTGCATTTTGTCCTTAATGCAGAAAAGACGCAGAAAATCAAATGCACACACTGTGTATTTAACCAAACATACCACAAAGTGAAGCTTGGTCAGGTTAAAGGTGCTCTCTACATTTATCTGCAGAGGCAAGCCAATCTGGAAATTAAATAAATATAGTTACATTTTGGATACATGCAGCTGTGATATATTAAAAATATTAACTTTGTATATAATACCTGTGCAGATGTGTTGCCGGGGGCGATCTGAACATACGAGTCGCTCGGAGAGGAGAAGTTGTTGGAAATCTTCAGAGTCTCCTCACTGGACTGAAATCTGGCCTAAAAATCAGTATTTATAGCAGTAAGATAAAGAAAACGTGCACTTATGAACTGATGTTCTCCATCTTTCTTTGTTCTTCTGAAAACATAACACATCAGAGGTCGCGTTTTTAATTTAAGTCCTTTCTCTTAAATTTAATGTCATCTTTTACGCTACTGAAACTCTTACAAGCAACAAAAGTACAGAACTGTGATTGTTCTGCAAGTCCACCTTTGCGTGTTGGAGAATTACATTACTGACCTGAATAAAGAGCGTCACAACTTGAGCCTGTAATTTAAACCTGATGCGGACGTCCCCGTCCTCAGACACAGGAAGTATCAGAGCTGTGGGTTCTGCGTTTTTCACAGACGTTATCTGATTGATTTGAACCACAGCAGAGTGCTTTAGATCCACTGAGCTGAGCGGCTTCCTGTCGTATCTTGAGATCCTGAGCTGTGAAACAGAGGAGGCACTAATACTGTGTCCAAAAGGCTCTGACATGTGAGTTATGATAATAATAATAACTCACGTTTGTAGAGAAGTGTAACGACGGCTTTAGCATGGGTGGAAAATCGTGGAATGTGAGCTGGAATACATTCTGCATCAGGTGGACTTTCACGGTTTTGTTCACTTTAAACCCTTAACAAAGAACATTATGTTGTTTGGTGAAGTTAAAGTTATACTTGCAGCAACGCTGGTTTATTAAAATGCGTCATACCTGTGGTGCTGTCGTTAACAGAGACAGTAACGTGCACAGTGGGACGACCGTCACTGCTAACTGATGAAGTATGCAGAGCCTGGAGTTGATCATTGCTGAAGAAAAACTGTGTTGATCCGTAGAACTGAAAGCGAAGGTTAAAAATGACAGATAGTGTCTCTTATAGTTTCTATTGCTGTTTCAGTTTATGATTAAAGATATGAAAAACTGAAGAAACGGGGACATGGAGAGCTTCACCTCTTTAGTTTGCATAGCAGAGGTCGTGTTGCTCATAGCAGACTCCAGAGAAACAACTAATGTTCCACCTAAGGGTCGTCCACCAGGGTACCTAAATGGAAAAACACACTAATGCTGCTTCACTTGCTTCACTTATATGTATGAAAATATGTTATTGGCTGAAATGATCCAGATGAGCTCACAGTGCTCTCACTGATCCTGAGACGTCATCTCCAGCAAGGATGTGTGACGGCGTCTTGATCAGAACGTCAAAGTGTGGGCGCTCTGTGAGACAGGATGGTCATTTTGGTAGATCTCAGTTTAATCCTAGTTTCGATACCAAGAACAAAGCACTGCAGAAGTGGACGCTGGGAAAATTACAAGCTGACCTGAGATTCAACAAGAAGATTAGAAGATCCGTCAAAACAAAAATGTCAGCGAGTGGTGTGACAGGAAGATCGCCAAAGGGAACAGACGTTGCCATTTGGGAACTGTGACTTTAAGTCATTTAGAAAATGTAGAGCTGAAGTACGTGGCGATTCTACAGCACGGGTGTCAAATTTAAAGCCTGGGGGCCAGAATCGGCCTGTCGAAGACTACAGTTGACCCGACAGGATGGAAAATATGAAAGAGGGCATCAATTTAAGCCCAAAGAATCAGGCTGACAGATTTCCTTCATTTACTACAGCAGCATGTAGTTGAAACTGCATGTCTTTTTTTCCTATATCAAAATGTTTCAGGGATCAAATGTGCAGTCAAACTTCTTTACACCGACAGAAAGGGGAGTTTCACTGGTCCGACCCACTTCAGGGGCTGTTTGTGGCTCACAATGCAAAATGAGTTTGACATTCCCGTTTTAGAGGGAAAGTCAAGGCATCGCAAAAGGATTTGGATAAATCCTAGGCATTAAATGTAATAGGAATCCATCCAGCTGTTGTCAGAATGATTCACTCTGAACCACTGATGTTGTTCAGGTCAACCAGTGCCGTCTATCCTCAAACTGACCAATCGAACATAAACCATCACTGTTATTTTGGAATAAATCGATATGCACGTTACCATGAAGCTCCACAACAAACTGCTTCTCGTCAGTCACACCCTGCATGTAAGAAGAGGGAAGCTCGGATGAGAAGATATTCCTTCTTATTCCATCACAGCATGCAGAGGGGAAAACAACAACAACCCTACATTCACAGTAGCTGCGATCGCCCAGCGTCCAAGAGCAGCCGTCTGGGACAAAGGGAATTCTCGCAACACGATTCCCAGATTGGGCGTGGACTCCCACCTGTCAACGATATTCCCACTGGGATCCTGCATGTAAGAAAGGAATATCAGTCAAGGTCCCAGTGAGCAATGAAAAAAGAACAGAGTTCCTGTGGCTTTGTTCTTTCACACAGACAATAGAGACGCACCCGTACAGAGAGATCCACTCTGTCCTTGTATGGATGGTTATCCAGCTGAACACACACGGCTCTGACTTTGACTGCGTCCCCTGGATGGTAGCGGGATCTGTCAGTTTGGATAAAGGTGGACACATTCCTGGGACTGAAGGTTAGGGTGGTGGTGTTGGTGAAAATGACACTGTTTCCTTTGTAGCCCCGCACCGTCAGGTTTAAGAGGGAATTCTGGGTTAAGGAGTCAGGAATCTGGAGCGATGACATAAGTGTTAACACTGTGATCCCAGTCAGAAAGACTTTTTTTCCCCCCTCTACTGCCGTGAGAAGAAATAAAAACTATACTTACAGGAGGAAGCGTGAGGACACTCGTCAAACCTTTAAAACAGAATGACCTTTTAACCCTCCCGAAAGTTAAAAGAAACTAATTCAAGCTTGAATCGGCTTGTGGATGCACATCACCTTCTTGGAAGTCTTCGGTCAGCGATACTTTGGTGCTTCCACGTCCCAATTCAGCTGTCACCGTGCCCGGGAAGTCTCCGAACACGGTGATGGCCAGAGGAGTCGGCGTGCCAGCGTGCACCACCTCTGGACCTGAGACCAGATACAACGTAGCACTGGCACAGAGGAAAGAAAGGTGCGTTACTGACGAACGGAGGTGGTTGTGCGCCATCAATTCATTCACGAATGCAGGCGTTCTCGTTCAGGAAACGAATGCGACTCCCTTCATACCAAATTCCACCACTTACCTGGATGAATTCTGCGTCCAACCAGAAACGGCAAAACTCACAACTTTGAAACAAACAGCTAGGGTCCAGATCGCGTTCATGTTCACAGTCACGCTTCGAATGTTTGCTTCTGACCCCAAACTGACAGCAAACGCGTCACTTTACCTGTACCTGAGTGACCAAGCTCCTCCTCCTGTCCTCCTGCCAGGGCCCCAGGGAGCTCCTCTCACACGCATAGGAAGATTAGCAAGCATATCACACGCAGCACACAAAGCATAGCAGGAGGGTGTGCACACACTCGACACCTTTGCCTGGGGAAAGACCAGCATCATTTGTCCGTGGAGACAATTCCAATCCACTTCCAAAGCCCGGAGAGACACACCGAGGTGTTATTGTATCCATAACAAGGAGAGATCATCTTAAATGTCACAAGGAACAGAAAACTGCATGTGTATTAGACACAAAACGACCATATTATTTGAAAACGGAGACCACCAATCAAATCTCTATTGTTTTAGGAAAGATTTTGCTATATTACAGGACTCTGTGGCCTACTAATTGAATACAAAGCCATATTAGCACAATTCAGCTATGTAATAAACAGGCTTGACATTTTAATTATCTCGTGACAACAAAGGACGACAGGCTGGCAGTGGGTGTTGCGTCTCTGGAGGAAGTGATGAGACTGATCCGACAGTTGTCTGAAACCCTCCCTCTCCACTGATCTCAGGCGCTTTCAAACATTGAGTTTTTTCTTTATAATTGCTTGTTTAGAAGTTTATAGACATAAATACAGGTTGGACAAAGAAAACGAGGTAAAAATAGCATCGCGGTGATTATGAGTTGACATGATGGGTGCAACACTGACCGTGCTGTAGCCACTAAGTGGCAATTAAATTTTTTTTTACTGAGGAATAGCAGCATGATGCAGGCAAACAGAAGCATGCATAACCTTATATTCACCAGCAGGTGGCAGTAAAGCCAAGGTTAAGCCAATTTCAAACATGAGCTCCTCCCAGTTCAAAACAGAAGAGATGAGAATGTTGAGCCAAAAGCCCATAAATGGATTTTCGTGTCTGTTCTTTTCAATCCTAACAGTGGGGTTAGTAAACAAGACTCACGGCGCCACTTCATCCAAATAAACTGTTTATTTCTTTGGTATAATTCTTCACACTAGTTAAATACAAACATATCTTACAATGTAAGGAGCACTTGATTCATTTTGGCACGTACAACTTTGTCAACAGTTTCCAACATGTTGTAAAAATACCAGATGCGCATCAGCGAGGATGCAGGTGTGATGCGAGATGATGTTGAAACCGGATGTGCAGTCTTGTGGAGGCTTGTATTTGCTTTAGCTGTGTCGCTTCTTTAACGCACATCCCTGAGCAACTTAACAGCACCGGCTCTCTCGTTAGCATCACGGAAGTGCTTTGAAATTTTGATTACATGTGTTTTATGTGAGGAAACGCCAACTTTTACTGAAAAACTGAAACTTTATCTAAGCTAAATCATCAGACACGTTTCTGCCTGGACTGAGGCCTTGCAGCTGAATGCCCACACAGCCTTTACAAAACTACTGCACATTACATTCTGACATCAACAAAGTGCTGACAAAAGTGCGTATTTACACAGTGCTCAAATGTCCAAACAGATGTGGAATCTTTGCAAAGCATCACATATAAAAGCCAAAGATTATAGATTTCATGGAAGACCTAATACAGTACTTTTTGACTGTAAAGTACCAGTGTGGAGACATTTACAGCAACTCGTGTACACACTTTAATAGAAAGATGCTAAAAAGGTTCCACATAACCGAAATTTCCACAAGGCGGTCACGATAATATCCACTTTAAAAGCTAAAATGTGACTTTTGCATGTCCGTTTTATTGTCTGAACAGAAACGAGTGCACGCAGCTCACACCCATCTGTGCTTACATCCTTTGGTTACAGGCTTTTGTGACAGCTGTTTCTGAGTCTATTTCAGTTACAATCTGTAGCTTTGAAAGTCATCCGCTTTTAACCACCCAGCAAAAGTAGTATTCAGGGAACAATTATGATGAACTATGCTTCTTTGACAGCGTTTCTGAAGTGTCGTCTGCGGCGGGGCCGTTTGACAGTACCTCCAACAGTTACATCTCAAAGTGGCGGTACATGCTCTCCACGTAGCTCAGAACCCGCTGCCAGTCAGGACCGCCCGCCCTCAGCATCTCCTCCACTGTCTGTTAAAGAGACACATTTATGAGCACAACAAACAAAAATCTGTTTCGTGTGTGTGTAAAATGGGAAATTGGTTAAAACACAAAGTCTTACCAGAGACTGCGCAATCCCAACGCTCTCTCCTGTTTTGAACGCTAGACTGAGATTCTCTTTCTACAACGAAGGAAGTAAAATCGATAAGTTTAACACAAACGAGTAGCTTCGTCCCATCAGTCACACAGAAACCGGCACTACCTTGTTCTCGGGGCCGAGGGTGCTGTAAGGGATATGTGAGGGGAGGTAGGTGTGGTAGACGGCACAGAACGCCAGGCCGTCGGCCCAGCTGCTGCTGAAGTTGGTGATGTCAATGTTCTGCATGAAGAGGAGAGGATACAAAAATCTATTATGTTCATTACTTCAGTGTTAAAACCTGTTAGACTACCACTGTTATTAAGTCCTTTATTTAAACAGGTCTATAAACAAATGTGCAAAAGCTCAAACACATTACACGTGTTCACTGATTATTATAAGAAAAGCACGTCCAAGTACAACCTTTTTAAAATGTCTGAATGAAACCAGAGAGGGTAGTCTCATAGGTTTTGGCAGCTCATCCCTTATTTAAATTAGTTTTTCAAGTTCAGTGTGAATAAAAGGGCCAGCTAATGTTAACATGCATGTGACCTGATACTGTAAACATGTATTTAACTGTAGTCAGAAGTTGGTAAGCTGTAGATAAACATACAGTTCAGCTCTCGTCTCTCACCTAAGGCCAGCCATTCACTTTTCACATAATCACAGAATCAAGAGGCTTCAAGGCAGATGAAGAAAGATGCATATCAATAATATCACCATATTTAAGTGTGCACAAATTATGAATTATTACAATGATCTTTTGACTAGTGAATGTATACAAAACTTTTTATGAGGGGCAGATATAATATTGTTTGTATACAGAGTGAATTCAAAGGGCCCAAGGATGGACCCCTGTGGAACACCTCTGCAAACAGCGAGCAGAGGTTACGTGACACCTCTGTAGTTCTACCAGAAAGATAATCTAAAATCTAAAAACACTTTTTCTACTAAAATGACAAGATCAGATGCTTTTGACAGGTTCAATACTAATGGTTACCGAGCGTTTCAGTTATATTACTGGAAACACTCAATGGAGCTGTTGATCTGTCACATGATTTAATCCTGAGGGTAAAAGTTGATTCAGGAACCATTGTCAGCTGGAGCTCTAATATTTTAGCAAGGGGAGGACAATTTGAGATGGGCAGTAATAATTTAAATCACTCGGGTCCTTGTCTTTGTGGAGTGGGAGCACAGGTGCAGCCTTCCAGGTTTCTTGAATGTTTAAAAAAAAAAAAGGACTCTGTTATCAGAGTTTGGAATACTTGGTGGAGATTTAGAGATTATGACCAAGAACCCACACACACCTGTAAACTGAACTACATATAAAAGCATCTTGAGGGTCACCTTGTAGCCTTGGGTTCGACTCTGACACCAGCGGAGCAGCGAGTTTCTCTTTGAGCCTCCATGGCGACGCAGCAGCAGGTTGAATCCATCCTGAGACCTGAAAACGTGCACGCACGCTCGAGTCAGTTACAGTAGAGCAAACTGAACGTCGCACGAGAAGTGTTTCCTCTACTTAAGCTTCACGATCTATTTTGCTTCAGTCCAAACAAGTCGTTCGATTTATAAAGGATGTGACTGTTCACAGAGCGTCGCTGTGGACTCACTTGGTGGGCGGCAACTCGGTGAGGGCTGAATTGTACTTGTTTAAAGACTCCTCGCATTTTCCTGCACAGACAAGAAACAACCCTGCGTTACACACCAGCAAGCTATGAGCATCCAGTGCAGGAAGGCTTAGTCACAGCACAACACATTTTAACTTAACACAAACATCTACACGGTTAAAGGCTCTTTTTGTAAATGTGTGTATTTAAAAGTAATTTAAAACGACCTAACGCCATAATTAGAATATGAAGAAAGAACAGCTATGACTTACACATAAATATATTGTGTGGAAGAGATATCAGCTGAAAAGAAACAACAACAACAGGGCTGTACTTTCATGTCATTAGTTTGTACCACAACACTATGCAGCACATCAGCGCCGCCTTTATTTTCCCAAACCAAACCTCGACAACCAAAAAACTAGTCACTACTTCAGGCTCGCTCTCAGATCTCTAAGACGCTCAAATTTACAAATTTACAATATGGTCACTTTTGGCTCTAAAAATTATGAATGAATTAACAAAATGAGGTTTAATCCCATCGTCTACATGGAGACTATGGTTAAAAACATAGTTCCTTAGTAGTATGAGGCGTGGGTGGGCTCACCTGCGTCACTACTTGACCTGCCGTCCTGCCAGTCCAGATTTCGACCTCTTAATTGCAACAAGTTCTTTTAAAGAAAAAAAAAGTATCTAATTAGGTATAGCTGTGTGTGCGTACAGTATGCATGTCTTCATTAACAAGCAGACCCTAATGAAGCCACTTCCTGTGTATGAGTCTCACCTTGTTTGCAGCAGCACCTGTTGCAGCAGAACTGGGCTGGGAGGCTCCGTTCAGCATGGTGTTGGATTCTGAGGAGCTGGGTAATCTGGACAGGCTTCTGCAGCAAAGAATGGATAAAACAAACCAAATCAACTCTCCTCACACAGCTGCTTCACGCTCCACTTGTAGATTGGACTGTTTAAATTCTTTTCAAGTGGTCGACTTAATGCAGTACGTTATAGAGAAAGCACAGCCGCAGTCCTGACCAAGTTTGGTGATTGTTAGCAGAGATGATGTGGAGCAGAGAAGGTTTGTTTTCAAATCTCTGTCCAGTTCCACAGACGTACGCTTAGGCTCGAACCCTTTTCTCACCTTGACCTCTCTGTAGTCACCATCCTGCGTGTTTCACTGGATCGCACCCCCTCTCTGTTCCTGTCCTCATTGGTCACATTTCTCAGGTAGCGCTTAGTCACATCTTTACAGTCTGTTTTCGCCTCTTTGTCAGCGACATTCTTCACCACCTCGTTCTGATTCTTACTTTCCAGCCCTTCTCTTCCTAACCTGTACACCGCCCTCTCCCTGCCTCTGTGGCTTTCTTCCTTGCTCTCCGACTTGTTAGATTCTCCATTTGGCTTCTCAGGTTCATGACAAGGTTCCTGGGCTTCACTTTTGCCCTGGACCTTGGTGAGATTAGCCAGTTTTTGCCTGCTCTCCTTCAACTCTTCCCTCAGAGTAACCAGCTGCACATCAGCCTCTTTCTGTCTCTGCTGGGCAGCAGACAGCTCCCTCTCAATGTCTTTGTGGGCTGTTCGGATCGCCGTCAACTCCTCTTCTGCCTCAGCTCTCAGGCGATCTGCCACCGCCACCGCCACCTGCAGGTCACCCTGGAACTGCAGCCATTCGCCACGCTCTGACTGGAAAGCAAACAGAGGATACTTTATTAGCAGGAAAATCTCAGTTTGTCCAACTAATTTAAGAAACAGCACCCATGTTCTGTGTGGGCATACGCTAGCACAGCTGACTGGTAAGCTGAACACAAGTGCAGCAGAAGCTGACTATAAATTTTGTAAATAATCTGTCATACAGTCCCGATCAAAAGTTCAAACCACAGGGGGGAGCTTAAGGGAAAGATTTTTTGCCTTTGCCATCAGAATGTCATGACAGAAAATGACAATAAATCTACATTTTTGCACAGATTTGGCCCTTTAAAGGCATGTAGCCCTAAACTTTTGAGCAGCTGTAAAACAGCCTGTTTTAGTTTCAATAAATTACATGCTCAACAAAATGTTTTGTCTCACTCTTTCTTCTTGTTGTATGTTGAAGCTTGACTTGGAACCTCGTTAAGATCCAACCATGCAAAATATGGTTTTTTTGCCATCTTTCAAGTGGCCTTAAACCTTTGATCAGGACTGAGAGAAATATAATAAAAATGTAACGGATAATCCACGCAATCAAAATTATTTTCACAATAATGCCATAAAGAATCCAGATGATTAAAGTTGGCTTTAAGTTAATCAGACAGACAAAAAGAAACAGCTCAGCTTTCCGCAGAGAATGACTGCAATCAAATAAACTATCAAATATCCATTTCGCCCTCATTAGACGACAAGTTGAGCTGAAGCGAGCAGCAGGCCTCAGCAAGCCGAGGGGGGGAGTGGAGCTGGCAAGCCAACTCAAATGAGGCAAAACTCGATCATGACAACAAAAAGTGGTCTGCTCGTTTTTAAAATCATTCTTGGAGGGGAAAAAAACGACTCGAAGCCGAACAAGCTCCGACACAAACAGAAAAACAAAGCAAATGTAAGCAACGTTTTGGGAGCCGGACCAAAGATTACATTGTGAAACTGCCTTCTGCGACACCATCGGTGTGGCTGTGATCCAAAAACAGTTTTTTTGGACATGGGAAAACCAAATCCCAACTCGGATTCAGTTTCATATCTTCGTGATGTAAAAAAACGCTTCCAGCTTTCATTCTTATAGTCCTGTAGCAGCAGACATGCACAAACACTACCCCCAGACATCAAAACAGGCACTCAGAGCCAATGAAGCCAAGAGGTAAACGATACCAGACTATTAAAAAATGTTAAGCGACCAACATCATAAAAGAAAAACAGAGGGATGTGGAAAAACGTCAGAGAAGACAGGGAGGACAATAGAAGTTGTTGGAATCACACACAGATTTAAGGAAAGGGAGTTCACAGACTGTGGAGAAATGTAAGCTGGGGAACTGCGAGAGTGTGGAGGAGTGGAGGGATTGGGAAGGGTGGTAATTAGATGAAGAATGGATGAAGATGTGGAGGAGGAGGCGAGTCTGAGCCAAGCCGTTCCCTCATCTGACCACTGACTCAAGACCACAGCTGGACCTGATTACTCTGGATGCATGCGCGCACACATGCATATCACGTTGCTTTCCTCTCTCCCACAGACACACACCTCCCCTGTTCTTTCACATCAACATCAAACCACACCGTTTCATTCTCCAACACGTATACATATACTCAGGTTAAGCCGAAGCACACTCTCCTTGGAAATCAGCAGGATAGTGAATCCTGTTTGGAGTTCTCTGAGTCTATATTTAGGATTATTAAAAACACCCGCGTGGACTTAAAGAATCTTGTCTTTGCAGAGTCTTTGTTATCTAGATGTGGACACCAACTGGAGCGTGTCTGTTTAAGGAAACAGGAAGGGGTGCTCCTCAGTTAACACTGAGATAAGGGTGTGGACTGTCAGGACCCCAGGACCCGGCCTCATGCCCCGCTGCAGGACCAGATGTAGTACAGGCATACATACACATGTCTATACTCTAGATGCAAATCTGCGTTCCTGACAATTCCTGGAAAGAGTTCAGCACACTTGAAGATTTGTGCTGTGTTTACTACTATGTGTCCCTACTTCACCTCCACGCCCACTCTAACTTGGGGAATCATCCCAACTCAGTGATTACTGCTCTCTCCAAGCTGTGGTGTGAATTCAAATATATTTATTAAGACACATTTGCCTCCCAGATGTGCAGTGCAAAATGGCCAAAAAACTCTGCAAATGATGCTCAAACATAACTTAACCATAAGCTAACAAGAGAGTTGCATATTTAAGAAAAGCTTCCCAATGGAGTCAGGAACCCTTCTCTCATCCTTCCATCAGTCTACATGTGATCCGTGGCGTCCAAATGCACGGCCTGTTTCACTGCAGCAGACTGTCAAGGAGCAAAGAGAACAGAGAGAACCTGGAGATCATTTCAGGAAATCTCGGCCAGCGCTCACCTGGAACTGATTCCAAATGCTTTGAGATCGACTCCAGCAGGGAACACAAATCTGACCATCCACCCCCACAACACAGCCACGATTGGAGTATTTTCATTTTTGCTGGTTAAGAAAACTGAAAGCTTGTCATGCTCATAAGCACAAACAGATGGTACATTTGATAACATCCTTAGCAGTTCATTGCACAATGGGCAATCATGTGGCTTTCTTTAGAATTCAGTTTAACTACAAAGAAATGGAAAATACATTATTGCTGCCGGGTAGACAGAGACAGATAAGGAGCATTAGGAAAAGCAGTGCTGAGGACAGATGAAGAAAGCACATCAGGGAGGCTTATCTGTCTGAGTGTGACTGGAAAAATAACAGCTACTTAAATTACAAGAAAAAAAAGGGGTCAAAAATGGGGTCAGATCTGAAGAGGAAACGGCTTAAGCAAGGTGGGGTCAGACGAAAAGATGGATGGTGAATGCAGAATAGAGGAGAGGGGGGGCTGAAGGCATCCAGAGGAAGGAAGAGATGAGAGAGAGAGGGAGAGCCATCGCTCATTTCAGTCTTGTGCTCGGGGTGGAGCGGTCAACAGGCCCGGCTGGGAGCTGAGGGGAGGGGGGAGGCCTCTGAAGAATTCTTGCTGCATGTGTTTGTAAGTCTTTTGTTTCGTGTGCACGCGCACAAAACATGGCCAGTGGGTCACTGCAAGCTGCAGCCCTTCTACCTCACCACAGCACAAAACAAAACAAGTTTTGTCTTGGAAACAGCCGAATGTGAACCCCCTCCTCCGCCCTGCACTCCCCTTCTCCGGCTCTCCACACAAAGGATCTCGGCACTGCAGAGCAGGCAGGGAGGGTTCATAAAGCTGAGCTCCGGCTAGCTTATATCGTCCTACAGAGGGCTCATGTAAACACGGGTTTGGATTGCCATGATTTCCATAACACTGAGCCCTCTCGCTGCGTTATACCACAGTCCCTCTGAGCTTCAGCTGGACCGTGCGAGGCTTATATTTCTAGGTCTTTTACAAGGATGTGGGAAAGTGGAAGAAAGACAAAGTAAAGAAAGGAGTGTTTGGACAGTTTGAATATTAAATAGGCAGAGCTGACATCAAGGAGGCGCGGAATAGACGAGCTGGAAGATAAAAACGGACGACGTGCGTCAGTCGCAGTTCAATTAAAATAATTCAAATACATGAGAAAAATAAAAGAGCAGACGAGAGGACGGGGAGGATAGAAGAAAGAGAAGAAAAGGCGATGGGGACGGGGAGGGGCGCCGTTCTGTCATAGTCCAGCTGTCGTAATCTGTGGCAGATCTAGAGGAAGCTGGAAGCCTCTGGCTACAATCCTCATAAGGGAGGGTCAGGAATCGGAACAAGTAACTGACAGGAAATTACTCAAGAATATCACCGTCCTCCTAAGATCGCAGAATGAAGGAGAAAATGAACTAAAGAAGTGCTGCAGAATTTGATTTTATCCATATCGAACATAGCCAGTTCAGTTCAGTTCAGTTCATTTTTATTTACACAGCACCGACAACAGTCGCATGTTGTCTCATCAGAAGGACCAACAGTCATGTGCAGCTGCCTGTGATACCAAAGGCGAGCGTCCTTGATAAACTATCTTGTTGGACAGAAAATGATCTCAACGACTTTCCTCCTGTGGAAGGACAGGAAGACCTTCATTAGCACAGCTGCAGCCCCCAGGGGGTGAAGCAGACTCCACTTGAAGACTCTGTTGTTGTTAAAGGGGAACAAAGTGTGGGCTGTGATGGTACAGTATGTGTTATTGTTACCTCTCGGCTCACAGGTCATATTACACTGACCTGTACATCACTTCCTGTTTACAAATGCATGCACTTTACTCGTTCAGTTATGCTGCAACAAAGGTGCGTCGTGTATATAAAACACAGGACTAATTACAGGATGAAGTTTGATGAAAAAAGAGGCTTTAAACAACACAAGACTGGCAATGGGACCCCAGATGAAACGTTTACGGTCACAGCTTACAATCTAGCCGGTGTATATCAAAGCAAAGACTTCCTGTCATCATACAAGAATTTTAAAAAGTCAATTTATTGGGGTTTAGGCAAACGCATCCTTCACGGGGACTGGAACCTGGTCATTACGACTAGAAGGCATCCAGTACCAAAGCTCCTCACTCCAAAATGTTGCCACATTCATATGCAAACTTTAGTTTATAGAGAATGACCGGATAACGTCTCTTTGGGGGGGAAGAGTTAAGTGCACGGTCGGTGTCTGAGGAGAAAACTTTCAAGCTCATCTCACCTCTAATGTACTCTTCAGACTCTTCACTTCTGTCAGCAGATGCTTCAGTATCTCTGAGGGAAGGTCACAGAAATGTCAGGCAGCATCACATGCATATAAAACACAAAAAATGTCGAGGAAATTGACTTGCCCTTCTTAAAACAGACAAACGTTTGGCCCACATTGAAATGCAGAGTTGTAGCACTCAAACAACAAGCCTGCTGGGGGTGTTATTGCAGTGCTTATTTAGGGAGGGGATATTTTGAAATTTCAAATACTAGTACTATAATAATAAGACTGATTTCACTCTCACCTGCTGTGTTTGTGCTCCCGTCCTCACTGGCAGGGATTCCCAGAGCTAGCTTACACTCCTCCAGCAACTTCTCCAGTTCCTCGCTTTGGCCATCCTTCGGTTCCTGACACTGCGGCAGAGACTGACTCAGACCACTGTCCCTTTCTCTCCAGTTTTGCCCCAAAGAGCTGCCCACCACAGGCGAGGCACTAGACAGAGACGAGGGGCTCTTTATAGGACTGACAGGCACACTCTTCTCTGGGGTAACAGGAATCCTGGGTGTAGAAGTAGGAGGACCACCATTCCTCCCTACAGTAGCTTTCTCACTCACGGCCACAGCACCGGCTGGCTTGCTGTTCACTGGGTTAATTCCAGCGCTGACCGTGGAGCTGTTTGCGCTGACCGGCGGACAAGGCTTCCAATCTGGAGGGGGACTGCGAGCGCTGGGAGTAGTTGGCGTGCCGTGCTGCGATTTCTTGCCAGTGGTCGCCGGTACTGGAGGTAGAGATGAAACTGAGATCGTAGGGGAAGACGGAAGCTGGGGAGCACTGGTTGTGAAAACAGCACCGTCGTTCTGTGGCGTAGTAGGTGGAGTGTGAAAACTGTCCACCTGAGCCCCTAAAAAAACAGATTTGAGAGAAAATGAGAAAAGCAAATTGTGTTTGAAGACTGCATCTAAATATGGGGAAAAGGGGAAAAACTGAGCTGAATAATCATTTCTGTCAGACGTTTTCCACACAAGACATCAATTTAAGAACAATTCTTGAAATAATTTCATATCCTGGTCTCTGGTTTTAACTTCATGAGTGGAGCAGGACTTTAAAGTTTGTGCTCATTTCCAGGCCTGAAATAACTTTGTTTAAAATAGTCCACTTTTCTTATACTGAGCCTTGGTGCAGCTGCTTAGCTCACCCGCTATCTGAAAGAAGCAGTTTTAACTCCTCTTTCTTTAAGACACTTTGCTCCTGATTGTGAACAGAAGGTTTGAAGAACAGGTGGGTGGAGCACACGTCCTCACATCATGATCTCTTCACATCACGCAAGTCCAAGTATGGGTGTTTACAGCAGTTTAGAGCTCTTAGAGAGTATTTGCACATACGACGACCTCCGTATCTGAAACTCTGACCATGAGCAGTCATCGCATACATGTGTGACAGAATAACAGCCTCCATCTGTGACTCGGTCACACAGACTGAAGGAATACACTGAACAACTGAAGCGGACACAGAACGAAGTAAGAAAGCAGTCAGTCGTCAGCAGTCAGGCATGCTGACGCTGAAAACATCATCTAGCGAGTTGACGGAACAACACGGCCTTCGCTGACCAGCACAATGCCCGGGCCGTGCCCCTGACGATGAATGCTGTAATACAAGCATTCCTCTAGCGCTGCTCATCCATACCACTGCTCCCGATTCAGGAACACATGCAGACACAGGACAAACAATTCCCACGTATTTGCAGCACTCAGTTACCGATTCATTTTCAGACTTGACACATGATGAGTTCCACTTTTTGGCATTCCCCGCCTGTCACAACACGCCAGCGTTAAGAACTCCAGAGGCTGTGGGAACCCGTAGGCAGCGTTTCCTTCTCTTCCCCGCTCATTTTTCTTGTTTGGACAAAAGCTTCACTATGAACAAAATGAATGTTTTTTGTTCCTTCGTTTTTTTCTTTAGTGATGTAAGATCAGTACTTGAACATTTGCAAAGTTATGCACCACCTGCTGCACGGCCAAGTCACCGAGAAAGAATGACAGGGCTGTCTAATAGGACTCTCAAGCCAACCCTTCTCTTTATTTCTTCATTCCAGACCTTAATGCGCTCGTCCAACCATGTGCATGGGTGGCAAGTTGACTGAATGAGAGTGGATGTGTGTGTGTGTGTGTGTGTGTCAGATGGCATTAGACTTCCTATGATTAATCCGCTGCCCTTGTGCTGAGCTGGGGAATTCTGCCGATTCATCACAGCTGGCCCGGCAGGGCCAGAACGAATCACACGGGGACGCGAGGAGAATGACCACTCACTGAGCAACACAGGAGAGCTGCCAAGATTCCTGCTGCAACTCAGCACACACACAGACACACACACACATTCACACACCTACAGCTTTTCCACTTGCTTCTCTCTGCTGCCTTCAGTTTCATGATTACTCTTCATCCACCTTCACTTTTTGGGAATTCTAGTACGTGCACTTTTCTGGTATCATGCTTCCGACTTCCGTGTACTTCATGAATCAGATGTTTGCGATTTCCTGGAAATTTCTCAACACAATTCAAAACACGAGGCCAACACAACTCAGCCATCTGTGCGCACTGCCAAACCTTTCAGACACAGCATGGAAAGTTCAAGGGAGCTGATTCCGCCAGAGCTGGTTTAAAGAAAGTAAATTAAGTGTGTGTGTGTGTGTGTGTGTGTGTGTGTGTGTGTGTGTGTGTGTGTGTGTGTGTTTGAGGGATGACCTACCTGTGGGTCCGTGGCTGTCCTTGGTGGAAAAGTTGCCCATTCTGCAGTAATAGGGTTGGGGCCAGTGATGTGGCCCTGCAGGTGCTTGTTGCACTTTCACTCAGACCAGACCAAAGAGAGAGAGAGGAGGTGACCTACACACACACACACACACACACACAGTGAGAGAGAGAGAGTACATCCAGCAAAGGATGAAGTCGTGCACTTTTATCCAGCTGAGAAATAATCCAGTGAACACAACCTCGCTCACACTGATGGCGGACTGAGGAAGTTTACATGGAGTCTCATTTGAATGATAGTAAAATCAGTACCTTTACATAATGAGGCTGAAACACCAGAGTGAGATCAGACGTACAGGCAGGACGCTACAGTGTGGCCACATGAGGCAGAAAGCTGTTGGCACGTCGGTGTAAGTGCTCGGTGAGTGGAAAAGGACGAGAAACGCGCCCCAGATCCACAGAAACTGCAAACCGAGTCACCGAGAAGCACCCACGAGTTTAAACTGGCAGTTAAACCAGTGAGGTTCACTAAGACGTAACATCGTTCTTCTAGAGTCACAGGTTTGCGCCACAGACGCGCGAGAAAAACTTTCAGCCACAAACTCGATATAAGTTCTTCACTGAGGGTGGAAAAAAGTCACTCAAAAATCATCTTCAATGTGAAAAGGCAACAATAGTGGGTACAAACCTTGGACAGATTAGAATCAATCCCAGATCGTCCGGTTCTGCGTTTTGGAAACTCTGCTTCTTCTTCTTCTTCTTCTCCACGACCCGCTTTCTCCAGCGCTGCTCAGCCAAGCGCACTGCCCCGCTGTTCCTTCACGGAGAGGCGCCGAGGGCAGATGGACAAACACAAAAGCAGCAGCTGTTGGACAAAGTCAGGTCCAAGCAACATTTTACTCCTGGGAGCTTCTCGATAAAGAAGCAAAGACGTGTGGCTTTAGTCCTCAGAAAGAGTCGAAGTGAACTCTGACCGCAGATGACCAATGTCTCCGATATCCACCGGACGTGTCCACTGGAGGGCACAGTTAGGCTGTGAAAGGACAAACCTGTTGCTGTCGCCTCTGGGGGGTGTTGGTTTCTGTCCGCTCACTGCTTCGAGCGGATGACCCACTGACCCGCTGTGCCACACAGCCCCGGGCTGAACAGTGAACCGACTTTACATACTAATATTTCTCCAACTATTCACGCGGTCCCGGTGAGAGTTTAGCTCCCACATAACTCCGGTGAGTCCTGGGATGATTCAGTTCTGAGTGTTTCAAACTATTTCCTGGTTACGCTTTTGCACTAATGCAGTCATTTTTTTATAGTTTAATTCTGACTAACTCATGCACACAATAAGAAATAAACCACAGTTACGCAAAACTAAAGTTACGCATAAACATTGGTGACAAAAACATTAAAGGATCACATATGTAGACACAGCAGCTCTGGTCTGGACATATTTATTTAAAAGCTGGCATACACAGGAGATTACTAATTAAACTAATCGCCCATATGGCCAAATCTTTGAATCTATAAAATTGAATCTATAATTTTAAAAAAAAATTTATATATATATATATATATATAAAATTTTCAAATTAAATTAACCTGTGTCAACCTTGCTAAGATGCATTTAACCAAATATTATCAGTGGGGTGTACTTGTATATTTGAGGTTTTGTGGATCAGAAAAAATCCCAAATAAACTCAAACTTGTGCACTTAATTATTGTTGGTTTTTTTTAACTCATGAAAGTTGCTGTACAGTCGTTCCACTGTGGAAAAATGATAATTTAAAGAAATCATCAAAAGCCCCAAAATTACCATGAAATTCATGCTAACGAGTGCATTCAAACTTCTGACCACAACTACAGATGCTGGGCAAACACATGTAAGCAGCATGTGCTTACATGGGCTAGTTCATAGTAAGCAGAGATACAAAGACTGAAATTCTGAGCTGATGCTACTTTTTTAAATGGAAGTTTAGCTGATTATTTATTTGTTTTTGTATTCATTTATTCATTTTTTGTCACTTTCCTCCTGCGGTGACAGAAAAACAAAGAACTCTTTATTATTTAAAAAAAAACTGAACTCTTTATCACATTATTGAACATTCAGCCTGCACAACACTGATGCTACAATGTGGCTTGTAAACGTGGATGGGCTATGAGCCCCACTGATAAACTGTTGCATTAATAATAAAAAAGTGATATTTGTATCATCTGTAAGTAGGTCGTAGCTGCTTTTAAGGCCAACTATAGTTTGACTTTTATCGTGACTCCACATGAAATGACATTGTTGAGATATCTGTTGGTAACCCTTCTCTCACTGCCAGGGGGGTAACATCACTGATCTTAGTTGTTTAGCAGAATCCCCAAAATCCACCACACACTGATGACAAGTTTGCTTCAGTGTTTAGTCAAAAACAACAATTCTCTCCAAATAAAGTTTGTGAAGATGAAACAGGAGGAAGAGCCTGGCTTCATCAGATATTTAATACGGCTGTGTTGCGGGTTGAGCCCCTGTGACGTATCTGCACAAGTGTTTGACTAAAATATTTAAAAGAAGCATGTGCTGGTCGGTGTGAGTCTGTCTACAGCCTCTGGTCTTGCACTGCACATTGTGTCTGTCACAGTACCAGGATATCAGCGTCCGTCCTCTCTCTGCAGTCTTACAAGTTTATCTTGTGATTAGGTCATCAGGGCCGTGATTCCTGTGGTAAAATTCTGTCACATCTCTTGAAGCATAATTACACCCAAACAGCATGAATTGAATCTTGACTAAAACATTTATTTCTTGGTACAAAAAGAACAATTTCATCTCACATAATTGCACAGAAACAACCTGAGCCACAGCTGTGACTAAAGTGCTTTTATTTCATGAATCTAGTCCAACATCTTTTCATTAAATATTAATGACTTTACTAACAGAACAAAAGTCTCCTTTAATGGGCACAGCTAAAGTCAAGTTTGTAGAGCTTCACAGACGCTAATGGATGAGCGCTGATGTGTGACATCCAGCACGCTGACAGATGAATACTGTGCTTTCAAACATCCCTTGCATTTTTAATCCGAGAGCTAACGTGTTTTCGAGCATCGCCATTATTCAGTGCACTATCTCGGCAGTTTCTCCTCATAGACTGCACAATGCAGAGTGAAACAGGAACCGGCTGCAGCGAGGAGACAAGCTCTCCTCCTTCACTCTCTTATTGAGATCAATAGGTTTTCGCAGTTCTCTGTGCTCACTGTGCACTGTTGCAGTATAAAGAGAATCCATCAAAAGCAGCTAGGTGCATTACACAGCTTCCAGCCCATGTCCACATTGATTCTGAAACTCCCAGGAGGGCAATGCCTGAATGCGACCGCAGTCTGCAGTTCAGTGAAAGCACGGCCAATTATTTCCGATCCGAATTTTCAAACAGGTGGAGAACATTTTAGTCAAACGTGTCTGTAATTCTGAGCGCTATCTGTTTGGTTTACTCTGTACATTTCCTCCAGAGCATTCCTGCTCCTTATAACCCAATTATGAAATTGTTTATAGGTGTCAGCCTCAGTCCAGAATAAGGTGAGCAACTGTCCAACATCCGATGCCAGTTGGAGCCATTAGCCCGCTCCTGAGTGGATTACGACCATTTTTTTGGTGACCCTCTGTGCTAGAATACTGGTGGGTCACTACTGGGCCATTATAAACTCCCAACCTGCCACAACTAGCCACTTGTCCAATTTGGCAGAGCGACAAGGACGGCTTTTTGGCTATGAGAACGTGGACTGCAAGGTCTGGCTGACCTCTAACTGACGAAACACTAAACTTTCTTACATCCTCCTTTGGAGAATCCCTCTGTTGCCTACCTTGTACCATCTCCATATCTGATAAATCTCAAGTATACTGGCTCAATTTAATAGCCGGTCAATGACGACAGTATAACCTTGTGCAATCCATAAGGCACAGCGCGCATTCTCAACCACGCTCAGTGTCTCGCCGAGTCTCAGCTCCGCTCTCTCTGGTACATTTTTTTGGTGTTAACACGAATGAAAACACCACCTCTAGACTCGTCCATCCATATCTGACAGCGAGACAAACGGTGGACACTGCAGGGGGAATGGCACAATATTTGGACGCACAGGAACTGTTTACGGGTCCTTGACCCTCTAATACCAGATTAGGTTAATGAGTGTGTGCACCAGGAATGGTTTTCCACCAGGGTTAATCCCCACGGAGGGCACAGACTTATCCTGCAGAAATCACCACTTTACCTTGCTTACCCGCCACCTGCGGTGTCTCATCAAAGTGTATTTGTGCAATTGTTGTTTACACGGCCCACGCTTTGATAACAGATCCACTTTCTTCTGAGAAAAGAGCCGTTTTCAAGCCACAAAAGCATCCTCTGCTTTACCACTCTGACCGAATCCTCAGAGAATTTAAAGTCCTCAGAATAGACGCACCGGTTTCGACTCAGCCCCAAAGCCAACCTATGTCTTCGACCGCTCTCTTTCGATTGACAGCCAATGCAGAATACACCAAAAGATGCCAAGGCTTGTTGATGGATGGCACCTGCTCCTCCTCAGAGGAAATCAATTGAAGTCATGGGCAAGGATGGGCTGCTCAAGCACTTACACATGGCTTTCTGCCTGGGAAAAGATGGAAAGGAGGTCAGAGAGAGAGAGATGCCAACCATCTGTGTACAGAGGAGCGCTGCCAAGCATCACTCTCTTTTTACCTCAGTACTCGAAAAGACACACAATGCCTCCAAATTAGTCATGCTAGCTCATTCAAGCCACATTCAGCCACAGTTTCTGGGAAGTTCCAGCACCAGTTACGTACTCATCCCATCATTCATGCCGTTTAGTGCCCTCTCTGTGCATTAAACAGCCTAGTTATTAGTGAATAAGTGAACCAATCCAGTAGAATGTGAACTATTGTTACTGAACTCCATATCTCTATGATACTGTTTCTTATTTCGCGCCAACACATAGGTTCAGTCAGATATCCACAGCAGCATGTCTTCAGAGAACACATGGGCCGCATTGGTGCAACGGGCCGGCATAGCTACAATCTTAGACATGACCGAGCGTAGTTACCGGAACTCAACCTATGGTGCCGGCCAAACTATCACCACAGACTAATTTGAGGGAACTTTGTCGCCAACGAACGAGGGAGGTGGGATCCCCTGGCAGGCACCGGCCTGGCGAGTCGCATCCAGGACGGGGATCCTGTGTGCCACTGCACTGGCATCAGTGTGCGTGCCGATCCACTGCAGGACACGGGAAGAGGGCCGATGGTAGAGGGCCAACTGCTTGGAGCTGTAGCCACACATCCCGATCCCAACGGCTCCCAGCAGCATAGCCATACCAGGCACGGTCTTCTCCGCCGGAGGCGTCACAGCCACATTATGGTAGGCCTGCGTCTGAAAGAAAAGTAACGAATGCGATAAGCGAGGCACAACATGCACACCTCAGCTCCAGCTGGTGCTCCCAGCAATCCTGGAGAGATTAAAACCCCATCTTTTCTCATTTACTAAATTGTGGCCCGTCTCTTTTGACAAACAAAAAGCTCATCAATTTTGCGACATGGACAATTTCCTCCGTGGGCCCTTGACAATTATAAAGCACGTGGAGGAGCAAATAATAGAAACTTAACTTCATAGTTTCTAATGGAGCTGTGTCCCAGGCAGTTAAGAAGCCATTCCTGCAGCTCGCTCAACCAGTTCCCATTTCTACTTACAATGCAATGGACTGTCGCAGGCTTGGATTTCTCTATTGTTTGGATAAACGCTACTACTATTGAGCTAAAATATAAGCCGTTCTACAATTACTGGAACAGCAGCCTGGAAATATTGTGGTCTGTGCGTATATAATAAGATAGCACTGTGTTTCATCATCTTGTCACAACCGAATCTGTTGAGACAATGCACAGAAAAATGGCTGCACAATAGCAGCACGAGGCTTAGCGAAGCAAGTGTGCTGTATGATTTGTAACTGTCAATAAAACTCTGCACGTACCCATGAAAACAGCACCTTGCAAACATTTTATCAGCAGTTGCTCCCCTGCCTCCCTCTGGAGTGGTTCAGCAGAGACAGAGCATGCTAACCCCTGTATGAATCCCAGACTAAAGCACTACTTTTTATTTTAAAGGTCTTGCATTTGTCAGTAAAACTTAAAATCTAAGAAAAGAAAAAGCTTATTTTCTTAAATATTCACTTGAAACCTTTAGAACCTACCAAAGGCTCACACTCACCTGCAGCAGCCTGATGTAGCCAGGAGTGAGTCTTGGGAGCCTGAAAAACATCTGAGCTTCCCACGCTGGTCTTCCTGCTAAATCAGATGAATTAAAGGCCAGATGACTCTTGGCAGTCTCTATCTAAAGCTCCTCTCCCTGGACTCCCAGGACGGGAAACCCACTGAGATAGAGGGTTCGTCCGGGTGTTCGCACACCTAAGCTCAGCTGTCTGAGGTAGGACAGTCTGGTCAGCCCTTATAACGTCTCCTTCCTGACTTTACATAATACGACAGCTGCAGGTGGTGAGCCTAAGGGGATTACATGAGCTGGCACACAGGGACAAAGAAGTCAAACTACACAGAAGGAAGGGTGGACGTGTAGGGAAAGGTGATCCTCGCTTCTTCTTTTGCCAAAGAATACAAACTGAGCGAAATCATATTTATATATGTGCGATTGTTTTGCATATTTCTGCACCTCAATCAAACTATAAACATAATCAAGGTTTTTATAAAATGTATAGAGTGTAGTGATATGTGTCTGAATTATATGCAGAATATGTATGGATAATTTCAGAGTTGTTTCCAGTTTGATGCCAAAACAAAGTCAAAAATGATGAATAAGAACTTGTTGATTATGTAGGCACATTAGCATCAGGTGTAAAGGACTTCTGACTTCAGCATTTCCTTTAAAAGGCCCACACTGAAGAGGTGAAGTCATTTACAGTCCAGAGCCCATTTAAATCTGCCAACTTAGTTGATTTGAATGTTTTTTGTGTGTTGATGTTGAAAGTGGCCTCTCTAGCTGTGTCAGCAACTTTCTTTAAGCTTTAATATCCTTCCTGGCTTCGGGGTCCCGGGTGCAGAGCGAGGTCTTATAATGAGGTAGCTGTGCTGATAACGTCGCTCTCGGTGGATGGGAGGAATTCTCTCCGGTGAGAGTTACCAACAATGACCTTCTTCCCATCTCTAGTAACAGGAACCAATTGTGCCTCCTGACTCACGCATCCGCGAATAATCTCAAACTCTGGCAATAATACTGCAAAGTCATGATGTCATGGAAACTTGTGATGCCCACTGGGCTTTAAGCACAGAGACAATATACCACTTAAAATGCTGTGTGAGAAAATGTCAAATCACAAACTGATATTCTATTGAATATTTAGAGTTTAGAGACATTTCCCAGGAAACCTCAAATATGAATGTCAGGATGGGGTTAAACCAGGACTGCTAACTGAAAATAAAGACAAGATGATAGTTTATTATACTTTTAATGAAATTTGCAGATTGTCTTGGTGGAGTTTGATAAACTCAGCCATTTGCTCCTTTCTATCTAAAATATATCAGGACACTGGAGTAAATTCTCGACCATCTCACATTTCTGTCTAATCAGTTTTCTGTTTGACGTTTATTCAGATGTGTAAAAACTATAACTTTAATCTCACCAAACTGATTTACTCAGGAACAAATAAAACACTGGAAAAAGCCAAACAATAACTTTTTAAAGTTATCTAAGTGACTTATATGTCATGTTTAACCTGAGTAGCGAAAGAATGCGGGGGGTCTGAAAACGATGTGCCGGGAGTCCAGTGTTCTCACCATCTCTAGTGAGCCTCGACCTCCCTGTCAGCTATCGAGCTAGTGGGTAGCAGACGTCTCCGAAAACGTCTGAGCACTTTTGCAAATATGTGATGTCTTGATAAATCGAGCAGATATTTGAAGTTTACAGCTACATTCTCACCTGAAAATATCTTAAAAGTTTATTTTGTGACCCAGAAAGAGTAATAAGAGTAATATTAAAACTAAGTAGCTGCCGCCATTGGAATTGGCTGAATTCTGGGAAAGGTTGGGCCACGAAGGATACACATGTGTGGAAAAAGTAACCTGCTTTCAGAAGTGCAGGAAATCCTTGCGGATTATCAAAGATGTTAGGATTTATACTGAGCTGAACTTAAAAACAATCCACCTTACAGTCTTTGAGATGTTTGGGTCTGGACTGCAATCCTTGGAGCCATTAAGCATGGCTGAAGAAATGCACTAATCTCTGAATGATCACTGTTATATTATCTTAAGCATGTGTGCCCTTATTCTCTCCTCTGGCTAATGTCTGCATAATGAGCCCATGAGCTCCCATCAGATGCAGCACCTGGTGCATCCATCCATGAATGGAGGCCACAGATGGCAGCCCTCGTGCTAATTGTTCAGTCATACACGCATACACTCAGGGTGTGTATTACAGTGTATGATATAACCTGTCGGTGTCTACTGGTGCATTCCCGGTTTGGAGCAATTGTTCCTCTAAAGCCGGAACATGGCAGACAGCTCTCCCTCATGCCATCAAAAAGTCACTGTCCAGCTGAGATAAATCTTTGTCCTTTTCCTGAACTCGTCCCTTGGCATTGCATGATGGGTTAATGCATTAAAATAGGCTACCTGAGCTGCAGACAGGTATTGTGATGCAGAAGGTTAAGCTACCTCCCTAGGTGGTACTGGTTTAAAAGGTCCATCAACAACAATGTGCTGGCATATTTAGCATATAGTTAGATAAAGGAGAGTAGCTTTGGGGATTATGTAATGGCACTAATTACTGTCCCTTATCATTCACCAGCATAATGAATATATGCATACACCCCATTAGTAGAACTGCCCTGAAGACCATCATTTCAGTGTAGTTATCCAGAAGTGCAAATATGAAGAGGCGCACGGCACAGCTGAGCAGTAATGGATTGGTGGGGAGTGTACTGGAGATAATTGAGGAGCTATTAGGTTAACGGGCTGGGTTTAAATGTCGTAACATCTGCAAACAATACTGATGCTCGAGGTAGAACTGACATTTGCTCTTCTGGCAATTAGGGGGTAAGATGTGATGGGGGTTTGTCAGGCTAACACCAATAAAATGTTTCCTTTATTTAAAATGCATACAGAAACGCTAAAGAAGCGTAGGAAAGTAAAAGTTTGGTCGATAAAGACAACTTTGGCCTTACTAACGATGGGCGGAAGGATTTGTCTGGCTCAGGATTAACCGGCTTTGTTTTCCTCTTGCAAACGAAGGAGACGGGGTGTAAGAATAGACTGGGCACAGAACCAAAACTGACATATTTAGAATGTAATAAAACATTTCATGCATTGAAAGCAAGTCCATCATTTACAAACGCTGTGTATGAGCAAAAAGAAAATTCTTGGTAGAAATGATTCTTCAGTAGTGTCTCTGCGTCTGTTCGACTGGCAGTCTCATGGGTGTGTTGGAGAAAGCACGAGTCTTCTTGTCTCCCTGCATGGGAAGAATGTCTGTGATCCAGTATTGGAAGAGTGTAACGACTGCCGTGGTTTCCTCTACAAACACAAGGAGACAGAGCGAAACATTTCAGTTACTGCTGACAACACAAAACCACAGGAACACTCAGTATTTTCACAAAAGAGATTCACTTGCTGGTGTATTTTTGGCATAATGCATCAAAATCTGCTTCCTTCCCCCCGCATGTACGTATCCAAACCCCTAACAAGACAAATTCTTTCCTTTTACTCGCTACTGTTAGAAGAATATATTTAGCCTTTGCAGAAAGCAAAATGGACAATACAAAAGGCAGAGCAGTCAATCCAATGTCATTTGTGAGAAACTCCAGGGTGCAGCAAAATATGCTTAAGGGAAATCTGCTTTAGAGCTGCTCCTGCAGCCAATTGATTGCCACTACAAGGGTAGACAGAGTGAGGAGAGCTTTAGTGAATTCACCTGAGGGGCTTTAAAAGCACGCATGCACATGGATTAGCTCCTGCAAGTCACTGAATGTAGGTTACTTTAAAATACCAAATGCTCCCTGAACAAGGTGGATGTTATTAAGAAGTTTAATTATTTTAAATTTCCATACTGTGGGGACTGATAAATGTGAAGCGAGATGCAGCAGAAAGGCCGGGGCCTTTGCCTCCAACACTCAGATAAGCTGAGTGGAATTGAACCATAGCAGCCGAATCAAACGTGCGACAAACACTCGTCTGCTCCAACACGATCTGCTGGCACGCCGGAATTAAAAACGGCAGCATTTAAAAACAGTGAACTGAAGCATGACTCATTATGAGAGAGCTGGGAGTACAGGGCGGGGGGTTAGAAAAGCTTTCAGGCAGCTGTGGAGCAGCTGTATAGAGAGGGGACGGCAGGATCTATGGTGGACTCTAGCAAACTGGTTTTTACACAGCGTCGTCAGGGTTACGGGAAGGGGCAGACGAGCGTCACTTTGTGGCCGCAGACATGGCATTGGCCTGAATCCCCTGGCTCGTCTCTGTCTCATTCTCACATGCCTGCACTTGTGCGCGTGACAGCAGAAAAGTCCCTGCTGATCCTATTATGCAGCCAGCGGCAGATGAAACCGCGTCAGGGGACGTAGGAGCTATTTTAACTGTTGAGAGAGTCGAGGCGAGTTAAAACATGTTCGTTACTCACGGTCAGCTCGAGTAAGTCAGGGGCAGGTACGCACAGGTGAAGGCTGAATGAGACAAGTCAGGGCAGGTAACCGGCAAACAATCCTAATCGGCGTTTGCCCCCTAACACTGGGAGGCGAGCGTTAACCTGCTGGGACGGGCCCGACAAAGCGCTCGGGGCAGGTTCCAGCAAGAAGAGCCTACTGTAGGCGTGGATGCATGAACCAGCGAGACACAACAATAAACACAGGCCTGTCATTCAAAGGAAAAAAGCTCTTTATTTGTGAGTTTTTACTGACCTGCAGACATGCAGGAGGAGTTGCTGCAGAGCTCCTTCAGAGCTTTTTCTAGCTTTTCTGTATCCGTTTGCTGAACAAGTGTCTTGAGACTGTACAGCTGCTTCAGGACTGAGTTAGGTTTGCTTCCGCCGTCTATGGCGCCCAAAAGGCCGTCCACTGTAGCAGACAGGTCAGGGATCGTGGAAGCATGAGACGAGGCTGAGGAGGGACAAGTGGTCTGTTAAAAAGAAGCCTTCAACATCAAATTAAGCATTTTATAAAACATCAAAAGGACCAATAAATGCCTATTTCTTTAATGTGACTCATGCACTGACCAAATATAAAGAAGACTCTTCAACTTTATTTACATTAAAAAATAACTTACTAGTTTCTCTCATTTTTAGTGCTTTTCTAACACGTATGGAAGGCTTTCATTTTCACTGAAAACATGTTCATTTCTCAGTAATGGGCATTTAACAATGCGGTGTAGGGTTTTTTGCACATTAGCATCCAAAATATATCCAAATAAACAAAACATTAGAAACTAAAATCACCGTGAGCATTAGGAATGCCTACAAGGTGTAATACTGAGAACATGAGCTTCATCCAAGAAGGCAAGTACAAGTGGTCCCTACTTACAATCTGACAAATACATTTCCATCGTTGTCCTGAGGAAGTCTGACACCTCAGCTGCTCTCCTCTCGTCTTCCTCCTCCTCCTCCTCTCCATCTTTTTGATACGTGAACTCCAGCGCAGCGGCCCGAGGCATCAGACCCATGGAGAGCAGCTTCTGTTTGTGCCGTTTCTTCTTCAGCTTTCGCTTCTTGTTCCTGCTAATTCGCTCGGCCCCCTCATCCCCCGCCGTCTGATTCTGACCTGTGCCGGACTCGCTCCCTGGAGTTGCCTCGTCATTCCCAGAGTCTTGACAAACGGTTGCTTTCTTCTTCCTTTTCCTCCTCCTCCTCCGTTGTTCCTCTGCCTCTTGCTCTTCATCCAGCACTTTGTCGCTCTCGTGGTTGTTCCCCTCTATAAGCAACAACAGATTAAACTCTTCATTAGTTTAAAAACAGTCGTTAACTGATTCACGATCCCGTGATCCGGACAGATCGGATTTTAAAAGGTCAGATTGTGTTCACATTGTTAAAGTATGAATCGTGTATCCACCTGCACTCTGGGCCTAATGGCTAAAACAGGAGGTGGGCATCGTCCATTATGGTGAAAGCTGGGAGACGGCTGCTTTCCTTTCAGCCAATCACTGCACAATCTAATTCCACTAATTAGATGTTCCCTCTTTTTCACTGATTGCAGTTCAATCAGCAAAATCATCTGGTGTGGCCTCTGATTGAAAAGACACGGTCAAATCTGCAAGTGCGACCATCGCTCGTTCTGAGCCCGGCAATTTGAGATGTTCCATTAAATAAAAGGGAACATTTAACAGAACAGTGCTCAGGTGATGCACGAGCTTTTACAGTGAAAGAACATTAACACATTCCTCCCACCTTATGGAAATCATCCTTTAGTTTAGCAGCTTCATTGGGCTTTCCATTTTTCAGCTTTTCTCTTTTGCAATTATCACATTGCTAAAATCTCTCTGCTGTCACATTACCGAATGACTAAACCTCAAAAGAGAACCCGTCCACAAACAGCAGTCTTGGATCTTCTCTAGCTTGCCACATCTCCCCTTTCCTTAAAAAACCCACGAAGCACAGAGAGGTCAAAGAAACGAGCTCGCGCTGACTTCTCAGCGACCCGTTTGTGAGCAGTGGACTGGAGCCAGAACACAAAGCAGCAGAAGTGACAGTGGCAGTGCAGAACTGACCGACATAGTGCAAGGAAAACACAAACCAAGGAAGCTACTGCTCATATCAGACATGCAAATACTCCATTTATCCATTTTTTTACATTTAGAAACATTTTAAATTATTATTTTGTGACAGATTGAAATGATAGACTACTTCAAGTCATTATGTTTTTTGTTATATAAATATATTTAAAAGCCAGCCAACTGCAGCCATGAGCGAGACAGATGAAGTCAGGCCGGCTCGGACGCCGCCCAGATCAACAAGGTCTGCATCAGGTGTTGAGGAACCAGGGCTCCCTGACGAGAAGTGAGCTACTGGAACAAGAAGGCATCGGTGGGCAAGATACAAAAACAGGGTGTTGTTGGGATGCTGCTACGCAAGTAACCCCAGCGGAAGGGGTTACATGAATAGGATGCGGAGCACTAGGTGCGGTGACTCCCAAGCTCGACGAGCGGCTCCACCAGATCCCAGAAACAACATCGGACATCTCTGTCAAGAAGAGCACAGTCCTAGAAACAGCCAAGATACGGCGCATGACCCTCAAGCTCCCAAGCCTCTGGTAGAGCAGCGGCCCCCAACCTTTTTTGCGCCACGGAGCGGTTTGATGTCACACAATATTTTCACGGACCGGCCTTTAAGGTGTCGCAGATAAATACAACTAAATAAAATGAAATGCGCCAACAACATTGAGAGTAACATCCTCCTCTCTGCCCCTTAATGCTCTCTGGTCGCTATGGTAACGTGTAAATATTTCTTTCAAAATAAGACACACAACTACAACACGGGAAAAGACCCAGGGAAACAGAGTTAATGATAAAAAACCCTAAATTTCACGCCGAGCCTCAACTCTCGCAGCCCGGTACCAAACAACTCAAGGACCAGCCCGGGGGTTGGGGACCACTGTGGTAGAGGACCCGAGCTTGGAGGATAAACTGCTCGCAGGGCAAGAGGGGAATTTATATATATATATATATATATATATAAATAAAAGTGTCAAACAATCAGATCACTGTATGCACAAGTAATCCCTGTGAGTCACATTCATCTCAATGCTTCTTTTCTTTCCAGTTTTGGATGAGTCTGATGTCAGAGAGAATGAATATCCTAATATAATCACCTTAGGCACACTGCTCTGTCTGTGAGCATAGCAGCCCCACCCATGTGCTGTTCAAACCTCTGTTTGTGACAGTCAACCAATCAGAAAGTGACTGGCTTAAGAAGAAGATTTAAAACTGCTACTTTCAGGATGGACTGAAGAATGATAACGGCAAGCTACTCTACAGAGTCCAAGAATTTGATGCAATTAAAAGAAAAAAAAAACAGGTTACGATAAACTTTCCTTTTGATTGTTCAGAAACAAGATTTTCTCGAGGATCCAAAGAAAACCCAAAATCAGAAGAACTAAAATAGATGTCCGTTTCTCAAAACATGTAGAAATACGGTTCTACATTTTGCAGCTAACGTGAATGTGAAGAGAGATCTGTTCATTTAAGACTAGGACAGCTTTTCTCTTTCTACACCACATCAACTACATCAACTCTCCTCTTTGTAAAATATTACACTGAAGCCTTTATGAACCTCCGCAGAACCCAAACTCTAGTTGACCTTAAACAGCTCTCTGGGTTGCAGTTCCCTTGAAGGCTCGCTACCCACTAAATCGAAAATGTTTTCAATTAGGAACTGCTACACTTACGAGTGCAATTAATCAAACTTAACCTTGTCAGTCATTCCAGCGGCCACCCTCAGACGATGGTCTGTGTAAGCCCGCAAATCACTTTTTTCACTGAGGTAAAGCAGAAGCTCTTCAGCTAAACGACGGTCTGAGTTACAGAAGATGATGAGTGTAACGAGCCGGCGCTTTTATTACAGCCTCATCACTTTGGTACTTCATGACAATAGAGAGAGGAGATAAAACAAACAGTCTTTAAATGATCCATATCAAATGCAGAGCATGTGACTCATCCTTGAATACTGCTGCCAGACAGCTCGACTCATCGCAGGTCAAGAAGATTTTAGCTCGGCATAAATCAGCTCACAACTCAGCCTCCAACATGTTATTAATAACAGTTAAATATCTCCTTTATAAATTATGCAAGTTTGTCCCGACAAGCACATTTAATCGGCCTATCGGAGTGAAAACAGAGTCACCCAGGCTCACTCACCATCTGCACAAGTTCTCCTCAGTTAAAGAACACGACTGATTTTCACTGTCTGTTTCCCCAACAACAGTGGCAGAGACAATCAGAAAGAGTAACTTTATTACTACAGAGCGCCAACCTGGAGGAGGCCCATGACATAAATCTCTCCTAGCTTTATGGTGCACAGCGCCAAGTCCATAAATGTAAGATTATGGGTGACGTACCAGCTGGTTCCTCCACGCTATTTATGCTTTTTAGCTGCTGTAGTGAGACCGACTCCTCTGAATGTATATCATAGTCTGCAGGAGGAGGAAGGACCGTGTACATCCGCCTGCCTAGTTTGGCTGCGCTCTGTCTCTTCACTGCATCTCCTGAGACACATAAGGCAAATAATGTAAGGCACTGAAACACAAAGGAGGGAGGAACGTGTTAGTAATTATCATGACTTTACCCGAGGCCGTGTCCACTCCAGGAGCTTTGCTTTTCAGATGTTTCTTTTTGCCTAGAGCTTCTACAATATGTGGTGGGCTCTGTTCCGTCACCACTTCTTGGATGGCAGGGTAAAGCTTCTGGAGAACTTTTGACTGGAACACTGAGTGACACAAAGACAAGCTGTGTTAACTACGCATATTCAGGCTACATGTGATCTAGTCCATGTGGGAATGAAGCATGAAAACAGGATGTAACCCGCTGACTTTGAAAACTGAAACAGGTGATGTTCATGCTGTTTGTGACTGCAATAACACAGCCTAACAATGAACACTGTGTTTACAAACTTATTGTGATGCCAAACAGTTAAGATAAACTTAGAGTACACTGCCAGTCTTTAGTTTTAGTCTTTGTCATTTTCCTAAACCATCAAAACAAGAAGGAAATGTCAGTGAGTACATTTATTCAGAACATAGAGGACTGAGATGTCCACACGATCGTGGCCACATAAAAACTAATAAAAGCTGATCAAATATGAAAAACAAAAAAAAACAAAACCTCCTGTCTTCTCGGGTACGTCTACCAAAGTCAACGAGTGATTTTAGGGCTTGACAGAGGAGCACGTGCTTATGTTTACAACACAGAAACCAACTTAACGCGAGATTTAGCTAGCTACGTTATTTGGGTACTTTAGCGAGCTAAAGAGTTACGAGCTCTGTGTGTGTTTTTGTATGAGATGAGTCATTTCTGGCGGTGCTTACCTTCTTTCCTATGTGCCATATTCAAACATCCACCACAGTCGAAGCAAAGAAAACATGAATTCCAACTCTGCACTCAGCTAGGAAGTTACTATGCTATCAAGCTAGCTGAGTTAGCTAGCAAGTATGCTACAGCAGCTTTTTAAATGAGCTAGCTTGACGCGCACATCCCGCTCAACTTAAAGATCAGAGATATTCATCTGTCAGTATCATCGCCACAGAGCTCCAGCTTCTTCAGCAAAGCCCACTAACCCAGAGTAATGCGCAAAACTGCTGAACCGCGCACTTCACCAGCTACCACACGCGCACTGTGACGACCAAGAGACTCCGTTTCCTTTTGCGCCAACTTCTATTCAAAATCCGGCCAATTTAAAATGCACGCAGTCCTCACAAACAAACACTCTCTGTATATACTTAATGATATGTATTTACGGGATTACTCGAATCTATTCTTCACATCGGCAGACGAATCAACCTCGTTTATAGTGTAATATTCATTAGCCTTGCGTATTTCAAGGAAAAAGACTCAAGAAGGTCTGGATTTGTAGAGCGAACTTAAAAATGACTCCAGCTAAAATGATTATTATAAAACCATTATTAGTTATCTGAGCAGGTGTATCATACTACCAGAGCAACATACGTTTTTTTTTTTTAATGTCCACTTTTATTCTTTCCAAGGGGCTACAGCGCCCCCTGCGTTTGAAAGCTGTAATAACAGCGGCTTGGGCGTGCGCACACCAAGCCAGCTGTAGGACGGGGTGCAGGCGAGATGAGAATACTAAACAGGCGCCTCATGGCTCAGCATCAGCACCGGGCTGAGTTCAGATTTGCGCACCCATCAAACTTGGCTTGGGACCTCAGCATGTGAACGGGCTTTGCAGGAGGAGGATCCACCTAGAATGTCAGCTCTGAAAAAGGTATTTCCTCCCTGTCTCTCTCTTTTCTTAATCTTTCAGCACACATTGAAGTCATGAAATGTGACAATGTGCAGCATTCAAACGTGGCATACAGTCATCTTACAGTAAATGGGAAAATGTATGCAGTGATGACAAATAGGTGTGTGTGTGTGAGCAGTTCAGTAGCAAGGTTTTCTTAGAAGTGTGGGACTTTTAAGCGGCTGGCTTTCTTTCTTCTTATTATTATTTTTAAAGTATATTAAGTGTCACAGTGCTGGTTTGCTTAATCATGACCACTGATTACAGTTGCCCAAGTATAATATGATTTCTGCATGCTTTGCATGTGAAATCTGATCACTGCTCCTCTGCTATAGCTCTCGCATGTCATTCCACTTGCATTTATCCCTGAGGAGGCTTGCACGAAGAGCACTTCAGGCAAGAAAAGCTTAGGATAACTTCTCAAACAGATATTGTGTCAGGTTTGATCTCAGCCAGACTCCTCCTTTTGTGCACTGTCACGTAGTACTGTATGTGCCATGCTGACTGCCATCTCTGTGGGTGGATGAGCTTCACTGACTGTGTCTGACAGAGCCAAAGCCCGACACTGGCAACCCTGAATGATAGTGAAGCTCCAAAAAGCTTGCAAAAAATGAGCCAATGGATGAGTTTACTCTGTAGTAAATTATACTGATTTAGGTAAACATGTTGCATAATTCCTTGCAGTGAACAACACACTGAATAGCACATAAACACCTCCTGCAAGCCCTCTTAATGAACAAGTAGTAAGATTTGCAGGCTGCTCGTGGTGTAGCAGTCATCCTCTAACAGCGCTGGCCATGCTGAAAAAAGAACTTGCTAACTGCATGTTTGTGCAAAAAAAGAAGCTTGTCATCACTCTCAGTGTACATTGACAAATGATGTTGTTTAAGACTCAGTGCAGCCGCAAGTATTGACGTCTTAGCTCTGACAGATTCCACTGACTGAGCAGCACAAAAAGAAGGAAAGTTGTATAGGACGCCCGCTTCGACACTGCTGCTGAATCCATAGCAAATGCAGACTACTCAGCACGCGCTGTGAGTGACAAAGTGCTGGCTGCCAGCGCTCACATAGTCAGACATCATAATCACAGAGGTGCTAAAAATAGGGGACCATGTTCATTGGAATGCTTCAGAAGCTCAATGGAGTCACTGCTGTTCGCACAAGTGGCTAAAAGTTTTACCAGGATACTCTTCGATGCTGCGCTCCTGTCCTGCTCAATAATACAAAAGCACTTATTTTTAGACAGTAGCGGTCAGCTAGTCTTCCTTCAGTGACACAGCTTCTTGGGTGAGACACTGATGTGTAAGATAAAGAGCTGAAGGTCTGTGCATTGCATAGTATAGCAGGCCATATGTGGAAAATGTGATTTTTGAATGTTTTATGTGGGGTCTTTGCAAACCGCCCCGTGTTCTCTCATTGAAAATAGCAAGCGGTGTGACACCAAACTAACTGCATGAAATGCAAGTGTCAGTATCTGTTTGTGTGCAGATTTGCATGTGGATCGCAGTATCTAACCATAACCATAATTCGTCTGTCCTACCTGTCCGTCCTGGCTGGTGGCAGATGAGAAATGTAAGGTCGCCACTGTAAGGCCTGGAGTGAAAAATGACATGTCACTTCCCCACCTTTTACCCCATTCACACCGCCACCTCTGCTTTCCCCGGCGACAATTCAGCCCTTCAATGAGAGCTCGATGATTCACTGAGAAATCTTTACTCATCCTAACAGGCAATTTCTTCACTTAAAAAGGAGGGTGCCTAATTAAAATCCACTGCCTGCATTTTTTAAAAAAGTAATTGGAAACTGACACTGTTTTCCTCCCAGAAGCACTTTGAAAATTGAAGGTCGCTTTTTCTTGTTTTGCTTGCATGCACAAGCGTGCACCCGCTTCTGCGCCCACACAAAAGAGTGGCTCGTGTGGACTTTGGCTCCTTGGCAGTGACACGATAAGGCTCTCATAATCTATTTGAAGATGCAGCACAAACTTCAGACGTTGCATTTCTGCATGCAGTGATGTCATTTTGGTGAACGCAGAGGCAGAAGAGCAGCGATGAATGTAGACCAGTGTGACTGAAAGTAAACGTTGAAACATTCAGGAGGTTCTTTTCTTATTCATCCGCTCTCTGTGACGGATGTGTTTCTGCTTCCCCCTGCATGTCCCAGCATTTTCTCTCACTTTAAGACTTTCTCTTACTAGCCCGTGCACACAAATCCAACTTCTTTCCATGTGTTTGCCTCAGTTTTTATACCTCAGTTCATTTTGTGAATGAACCTGTAATAGTTTTGGCTTGAGTAGAGGGATGCAGAGTGAGTGCAGGGGATGGATGAGACGCTGCTTTATGAATATAAAACATGAGGCATGAGATCCAAGTGTGTGTGTGTTTGTGTGTGTGAGTCCTTTGTGTCTGGGGATATCTGTGCATACCTGCAAAGCAGCCGCAGTCATTTAATCACCTTTGTGCTGTGGTGGGATAACGCGAACAGACGGGCGTCCCTGAATTCTCCCAGTGCTACTGTACCGACGTGTAGCCCTCAGGCATGGCGAGCCGGTGTCCTGAGTGACCTTTTCTCTCTAGCGGTAAATAGAAATAGTTTGATATCAGCACTGATGACGATTTCTAAAGGTTGTCCTTTGAGAGTTTGCCGAGCAGAGAGTCGAGCGGCTGTGTCTCTTGTCAGCTGTGCGCCTTTGAAACTCTTTGACTAGAGACAAAGGTAAATCATCTCATGCTCTAAATGGAATTATAAATATGTCCTCAAAGACCTCTTGTGTTAACACTCTGTCATAATATAAAATCTCACAGTAATGCAAGAGCATCACACCATCCCATTTCAACTGGTCTCGCCTGTGGAGTGTGGAACCATTACAGCTGGCCAAAGCTCTTTACAACCAAATCTTTATCGGGCCTTTTTTCACCGAGCAGTGAACTTGAATATATCAGCTGGAAAAAAAGCACCCGACATTAATGAAGGACAATCAAGGCAGAGCGAGTTTTAACTGGGACAAAGTTTAAGGATTTTGATTAAGAGCCAGAAAAAGTTTCGTGTGGTGAAGCTGTTAGGATATGTTTCTAAACCCGGGCTGCTCAGATTTTCTTTTTAAGTTGCTTTGCTGCAAATACTCCAAACGCAGGTCTGCAGACAGAGCGAGACAGAGGAGCAGTGGATGCTGTAGGCTATTCATGTTAGGATGTTTTGAGTTTATTGTATTATTTATCATTTCTATTCTTTGGTTTCTTCGTTAGAGTTATGTCTTATGGTTTATGTCTCTGTGTTATCCTTAGTTGCTATATCCCCGTGTCCAGTCAGTGTCTGTCTGCCCTGGTCCCATGTCTTTGTTCCCTCTGTTGAAGTGCCTGCATGTGAGTCTGGCTGTATCCCAATTCAGGGTCTGCAGCCTTAAAGTACGCAGGCTCAACGATCCTCAAGGGCCGCGTACTCAAAGACCGCTAAGGCCGGAAGTGCGAGGCTTGTGAAATGGGACGGTCTAGTCTCCGTTGCGCTGCCCAGGTTGCCTAGCAACCATGATACTAACAGCTGGAAACGTGTCATACAGCTTTGTTTGACAGAAATGAAGGAGAAAATCTTTTGTTCATCTGTTTGTTGCTACATGAGCTTTGATCATTCTCTGTAAGATTCAGCTCAGCTATTGAACGGCGTATATTTTAAAGTAAAGGCTCTAAAACCAAGTTCGTACAAAAGTCACTAATGTCACATAACTTTGCCGACATGTGGCCAACAGTAATGTTTTAATGGTCTTCGTTATTACACATTTGCACATAAATAAGTGACATAATATTCAGTACTTAAAGTTTACTCTTCGGCCGCCCCTCATCCGCCCCTTTTTTTCAGCAAATTTATCCACACCCACCACCGCGCTATGCATTCTGGGATATGTTGGGCTACGAAGTCTACACTGCCACAGCCTTAAAATTCAGGGAAATGAAGGACGCATTTCAGGGCCGCATTTCGAGCAGCCTTTGAATTGGGACAGCCTTCGGCGCGCCGCTGTGACGTAATCGGCCTTGAAATGCGTACTTTAAGGCTGCAGACCCTGAATTGGGATACAGCCTCTGTGTCTTTAGTTCAGTCTGTGTTATGTTTCCTGTTTTATTTTGAAGGTCCATGTCTAATGTTAATGTATCTGGTTTTGCTTCCCCTTGTCTCGTTAGGCCTGATTTGCCCCAGCTGTGTTTCCCTCCTGTTACCAATTCCCTGATTGCTCCCTCTGTGTATTTAAGCCCTGTGTTTCTCTGTGTCTGTGTTGTGATCTACCGTTTATCTAGCTGTATGTTCTGTCAGTCTTCTGGTGTAAGTTTATTTTGATATTTCCAGTTATGTTACTTTTTAGTTTAGCATTAAAGCTGTTTTGAGTTCAAGTTTTCCCTCCGAGTGTCTGTACCTTGGGTCCTATTCCTGCCTGCACACAGCAACACCTGACAATTCATGCCGTGATTACTGTGCATCGTGTTGTTTTCACCTCTGGAGAGTTGTTCTCCAGGTGCTCGGTGCTTAAATGATAACTTAATGCTAAGAAAAGTTTAGTCTGATGTTTACAGTGAAATTTATAGTGTAAAGTAAAAGAAACATCTCATGTAAGTTAAGCTGGATTTAAAGTAAGCAGAAGCAAAGCTATAATCTTTTTTTTTGTCAGACTAGTTTTATGATATTTCGGATGGCGTCTTTCTGTCGGGCTTTCTGACACGCACAGGCTGACTCTGTGCTTTTACATCAGAAGTCTTTGCCATACATCTGCTCTTGTATACCGACTTATTTACATTTCACGTAAAGGTATCAAAGCCTGTTTTATATATCTATATAAAGCTTTGTCCTTCATCTGACCCTGCAAACACATCCCTGCAGTTGGTGCCTGTTTTTCTGGCCCCGCCTTTTACTTTTCATTTACATGTTTTCCTCTCTGGTGCCACTAACTTCACCCTGAAGAAGCAAAGTGAAGGTCGCTTTGCTGTAACAGTGCTTTA